GAAGCCAGCATCGCGCCCCCGGGAGTGCTAACTCCGTTCGAGCCTTCGCTGGGTACACTCCAGAAAGCCAAATGTAAATGACTACTGCAGCAACTCAATTAATTAAATTGGCTTTTCTTCCGTCATCGCGCCCTGTTTCGTCCCCGTGCTCTTCTCCCGCCAAAGCAATCCAAAATCGAGCCGGCTCGGGAGAGTTTTGGGTCATCCGCGGTCCGGATAAACCTTAAACTGGAGCACCAAAGACATACAACCGTTAATTGACTTACGTTTGAGTAGGTTTGTCCACGGTTTCATCCAGACCGTATGTTTGTAGAACGCTGCGCCAGCTTTAATCGAATTCGATTCTCTGCGCTTCTCTCTTCTCCCACTTCAATCTCGTTCAAACTAATTTGACGCGGTTTGATACGGCACGACTTGGTTCGATTTGGTTTAACTTGACTTAACTTAGCTAGACTTGGGAGAATGAGACGCGTGCTTAATCTTCGCTTTGAAACCAAATCGAGTCATATATTTTCGGTCGAACGAAGCTAAACAGCGTCATACTGTGTCAAACAGTGTTGTCAAATGCTGTCAAAGAAAATCCAAACGTTGTCAAAGACTGTAAAACAGTATTGAACATTGTCAAACAGTGTCAAATAAAAGGAAGCGTTGTCAAACAATGACCAAATGAAAGCAAGCGTTGTCAAAGGCTGTCAAACAATACCAAACATTGTCAAACAGTGTCAATTAAAAGCAAGCGTCGTTAAATGCTGTCAATTAATACCAAGAGTTGTCAAATGGTGTCAAATAAAAACAAACATTGTCAAAGATTGTCAAACAATATCAAGCTTTGTCATACTGTGATCAAACAAAAGTAAGCGTTGTCAAAGATTGTTGAACAATACAAAGCATTGTCAAACAGTGATGAAATAAAAGCAAGCGTTGTCAAACAGTGTCAAATAAAAGCAAGTCTTGTCAAAGGCTGTCAAACAATACAAAGCGTTGTCAAACAGTGATGATATAAAAGCAAGCATTGTTAAATGCTGTCAAACAATATAAAGCGTTGTCAAAAGCTGTCAAACAATAGCAAGCATTGTCAAAGGCTGTCAAGCAATAGCAAACGTTGTCAAAGGCTGTCAAACAATACAAAGCGTTGTCAAACTGCGATCAAATAAAAGCAAGCGTTGTCAAAGGCTGTCAAATAAAAGCAGGCGTTGTCAAACGGTATCGATCAACATCGAAGGTCGTCAAACGACGTTAAATCGAATGAGATCAGTGTCTGCTTCCATTAATTTCTTATTAAAATGCACGGGCTCGTAAGACGTGCTGAAAACTGGGATACCGTTCACATTTTCGTCAGCTTGTTTTATTCATACCTTCGTCAACCGTGTACAGTTTGTTACGACGGTCGGTTTTGCGAGAGACTGTATATTTCTTACGATCTTTTGCGCCATGAAAGCGGGCATAAACTGCTGTTATTGCTTCCCGGTGGCTCGTGAAACAGAGGTCTCCCGATCGGAGAAACGCGTCCGGATTTTCGGGGTTTATAACTCGACATTCTTACGGACACGTTCCGAGGATTATTGATACGTCGACAGATCACCTTCCGTTTCGCGGAATGTTTTCGTTCCTCCGATCGAACACCGCCCGGTCCTCGTAAATACGTGTCGGTCGACTGATTGTTTGATTTTTATTAACGACAGGCTTTCGCCGACCGCCCGAGACACGGTCGAGGGTTCGCGACACTTCGCGCGCGAATCTGCTTCACGAATCTGTATTTCGGATCGCTCTTAGGGTTTTACGATACTCGGTGAGTCCCATTGCGTTTTACGATCGCGGCGGCCGTTCACGCGAAAACCCCTGGTCCGGTCGGACTTTCCGGCAGCAGCCACGGCGCCGGTTCATTCGCTCTCTTCTCTTCTCATCATTTAGAATATTTCTCTCTGCCCGTGTAACTCGGCTCCTGATCAATTTACCCGACTCCACGCTCTTGCCCCGCGGCTCTCGACATCCGGAATCAAGTGTCTTTCAACGTCTCGTCGAAATTACAGCTCGAACGATTGTTCGCTGGAACAAAGATACGGAATTTTTTTCGGGCCGGACGGCTCAACGTAAAACCTTCAACGTTTCAGCGTGTTTAGAGCACTTTTGTGGGAACGGATCAAAAAAATTGGCAACGAGAAATATTTGTGTCTTAGTTAAATATAATTATTTCTTTAGGATTCGTTTTTCTGGATACGCTAACTTGATGGGGTCCATTTAAGAATTTTTAAGAGGTAAACAATGAATTGCAAATTTATAACAATTTTATTATACTCGAATAAACAGTTCAAATAATGCATCAAAAAATTACCGACCCGAAGAATTCACTTTCCAGTTAAATATTAAATTATTTTACAGACCTCTCGACTTCGCGCGGCATCGATGAACTTGATTCGTCCGCTTAGACATTTTTCATAGCTAAACAACTGACCATAAGTTCATGAAAATTTTACCACGCGTAGACAGTACTTCGAGAAATGTACAAAAAAATTGCCAACATGCAAACTTCATCTTTTATTTAAACATAAATATTTCTCGACGCGTCTCGACGTAACTACACAAATCTGGCATAGAAAAGAAATACCGTAGAAAGCTAAGGAAATACTGAAAAATCAAAAAACTGCTGAATTTCAAAATTCAAAAAGCGCGCCAGAAATTTCTCTGAGTGCCTCGACGAGGCCCAAAACGTTCTCCATGGTAGAAAATCGATTGTTGACCGAGTGCAGCCTCTTAAATAGAACTCGCGAAGATCGCCGAGCGCGGTGAACGTCGTGGACAAGGTTCAAAGGAGGGGGGAGGAGGAGGAGGGGTGAGTTTTTATGAAAACGAGACACGTCTAATAATCGAGCCGGTAAGCCGTAAAAGCTGGCGGCGCGGCGGCCAACAAAGAGGTAAAGAAAGGAACGAAGCGAGGAGCTGGGGAGGCCGAAAGGGTGGGAGGGGAGGGGTCGATGTTGGCCAGACCGGGGGTGGAAAACAAGGGTAAAGGACCTTAAATCTCCCGGTCGCTTCCGTGGCCGGGGTAGGATTAAGATTTTATTTTATCAGGACGTTTCTTAACGGCCGCGCGTTAACTTTAACGTAATCCTTTTACGACTCGGTCGCTTTTACGACGAATCCGGGCACTCCGAGGCCGCACGTGTACACGAGTTCATAACGCTCGGTGAAATGTGTGCGAGCGACGTGTGTTTACGTTCGTCTAGGGGCTGGCTCCGCTGATCCCTTCCTTTGTATCGGTTTAGTAGCCGATCTATGAACTGGAACGGTCCTCGCTCTTATTTAACCCGTCGTAACCTAATTTTTATGTAGCCGCCGTCCTCGTTAAAAAAAATTACTCGACGCGGTTCGGTGATTCGACGAGAAATTAATCACGCGGAAGGTACAACGTTAGTTCCTCCCGTAAAAGGCTGATTGAATTACGGTGCTGGACGAATGGTATATGAGATGGTCGACATATTTTCTTAATCTTCTTAACCAAAGGTCATCGGGTCGCGCTAATCTTTACGTTAGAGGTCCAGAGATTTTTTGCTCTTTTATGCTCGTTCTCGTAGACTTCGTCGAGAAAACACGAAATATTCAAGTCCCAGGGCGCGAAAACGATTCGTTCAAGAGTTATACGCGTTTAAAGTTGACGAATTTCAAGCGCTGCGTTTCATGAGTGGCGCCGCTAGATGGCAGCACGAATATCAAAGATATTCCTAAGGAGAGCTGCTAGATGGCAGCAGAAGCATGGAGCGTAGCCATTTTAGTATCATAATTGAAATGCTCCTTATCTTATTAGGTTAATCTTTACTTTAAAGGTTAGGGTTAGTTTGCGTCAACTTTGAACGCGTATAACTTTTGAACTAATGGTTTGCGCACCTTGGCACTTGAATTTTTGGAATTTACTCGACAAAATCTACGGGAATATGCATAAAAGAGCCAAAAATCTCTGGACCCCTAAAGTAAAATTTAAGTTAAAGTTTTTTCTTATCTAGTGTACAAATTGCGATATACAAAATGAACGTCCGCCAAAAATATTTCTCTTTCGAAATATTTCTATACATGCATATACATCGGCACAAATTGTCCGAATAATTTTCCTGCTTGTAGATATCCGCAAGAACAATTTAGACGGAGGCGGGAATAACGGAGCCCTCAAGTCGCGAGAGTATATTACGCGTCACGGTATAATAAATACCCGGTAATAAAGGTGTAAGACCGGCGGCCATTTTGAAAAAAGTTGGCTCGTTAATGGGAGGGGGTTCGCTGGGAACAGAATTGATGCCGGTTTTATTCGTATCGATGGATTAATTTCCTGCGACGTCTTAATGAGTGTTTCACTACCCCACGCCACTCTAAATCATCCCTAATAGCCAGAGCGTGCGTTGTTTGCCTGGCCAAACAGCATAATTTATAGCGGTGTCCATATTGGAATCGGAAAAAATTTTTGGACAATTTTTCGAATCTTTTTATTGACATTTGCGACGTGTTTCGATGCTTGTCCTCTACAAAACATAACTAATAAGAAAAAATAATTAAGATACGTTAGCTTGTAAATAAATAAATAAATTGAGAAAATTCTACCGGAGAATTCATTGTAATATTCTACAGAATATAACGAAAAAAATAATTACGATACATTTACTGGTAGATAAATGAATAAATAAATTGAGAAAATTTTGTTGGAGAATTCATTGTAATATTCAACGAAATGTAATAAAAAATATGATTACGACACGTTCACTCGCAGATAAATAAATAAATTGAAAAAATTCTGCTGGAGAATTCATTGTAATGTTCAGCGAAACGTAATAAAAAAATATGATTACGTCGCGTCGGCTCGCAAATAAATAAATGAATAGAGAAAACTCAAAGAACCGAGCGCGGAAAATAAACGATCAGAACGGACGTCAGTCACCGGGCGAAGATGCTTCGTTTCAGCCGCGATGCAATTATGGCCTACGTAGCGTGAGCCTTCACTCGAATTTTTGTTTCAGCAATAATGGCTACGTGTGCCTGATGCTGCACCGAAGGGACGAGCACGTAATAGAGATGCAGCTGTCGGAATGGAGCAAACAGCCTGACTACGTGTGCAACTCGAGTACGTTCAACTCGCACTCGAGGCCGTACACGACGTACATTAGTAAGTCAATTACGATCATTTATAAACACTTCGCCGGGCGCGACTCGTCCGTATCTGTTTACACGGCGCCCTCGCCTCGCGCCACAGAGCCGGTCTTTTAAACGCCGGCCATGAATCGTTCGTTCGACGGTTAACCGAACGTACGTGTAGGCACGCGGCCCGGGGTCTCATTTCGGAACTGGAAATAATTTAAGGACCGTAAGATTCCCGGGGAACACGGAGGGCACGCGAGTTTGCCGAGCAATGCAAACCAGCGACAGCTAATGAAATTCCAGAGTGTGTACCGGATCTGTCTAAAGCGACTGACTTTGCGCCTCGTGGCTCGCTCGGCACACGTACCAATTCTAGTTATGCTGTCGCGGAAATAGAACGGTCCTCGCGAATTTTTTATTTACTCGGTAATCGCTCGGATTGCGTTTAACACTTCCACTGCCGTGTCGGTCGTGTATGGCTGACACAATTCCTTTAACGATGTATGATAATTTTTTTAACGATCTTGCAACTCGATTTTTGCAATTTCGAAACTGGTGGAAATTGTTTGAAACTGTTCGAAATTGCTTGAGACCGTTTGGAACTGTTTAAGGTTGTTTGAAACTGTTTAATGATGTTTGAACTGTTTTGAAACCGTTTTAAACTGTCTGAAACTGTTTTGATACTGTCCAAAACTGTCTGAAGCTGTTTTAAGACCATTCGAAACCGTCTCAAACTGTTTAAAACTGCTTGAAACAGTTTAACATTGTTTGAAACTGTTTTGAAACCGCTTAAAACTGTCTGAAACTGTTTGAAACTGTCTAAAACTGTTTGAAACTGTTTGAAACTATCTAAACTATCTAAAACTGTTTCGAAACCGTTTGAAACTGTTCGAAACACACTGCTTAAAATACGCTTCGACTGGAACACAGATCCAGGTCACAGGATCCCCATACGTCCGATGTCCGCGTCCGACCGCCGTTCCTCGAATTTTCGCGAGCTAAGTGGAAAGTAATCGACTTTTCGGGCTCGGAGGATCGGGAAGAACCGTCTTGAGTATAGTTTGACTGGAATGAAAGTTGAACGTGAATCCCGATGCCGGCGGAATCGCGTCCCGAAACCAATTGTGCCGGTCCTGCTGTCTCTTGTTTCGATTCCGTCCGTTCGCCTGGGATTACTGGCAGCGTTCCATTTGGCGGCCGTCGGCTTTTTCACTCGTTAAATATTGCATCCGGTTATTGATTATACTAATGGCTATGAAATGCTTTTTAACAATTTATACGCGGAATCCGTTAATCGTTTCCGATCCGATACCGAGCGCGCCGCGCACTGGTCGATTCCTTGTAGAAATGGTACAAAAATACATCGTTAATTGAAAACATACTTATCGACAGATAACGAAACGAAACTTCCTCGTAAATGCACGTATCATTTTTGTCAAGCAATGACACAACGACGTTATCGATTTCTACTTATTTCTTTATTGCTAAATCCACGTGGCTTGTCATTGTGCAAAACACTTGAGAACAAATTTTTGTTATCACATGATCTTGAAACGATGTCAGCTCATGGTTGACGTTGAGGTTTTTGGAAAAAAGATTGTTGCTTGGTATAGAGCAAGGTTAATTAGGAGGGGTTTAAGTCATCAGATCGATGACTTTTAATTCGTTTAAAAAATACAAAACCTTGAAGTTGTTCACAAAATATTTCCGCTAATGAGTCAGGGTTTAACTCGTCAATTTTTCCGGTCAATATTGTGAAATTAGTTAAAAATTAATTATTATGTGATGCAACGTATGGAAAAAACTATGGGAGGCCTAAGCGATCCCTTTATTAAATTCTGTCAGCTATTAGCAAAAGGAAACGTATCAAATCAATTATTGGTATTAGACGACAATAAATGAGACCACGTAACAATTTTCCACTTAGAAAACAATTCTTTTTTTTTAATTGAGTCCCATTTTCTAAGAGAATCGACTAGTGTGTCGAACGGGACGATAAGTTCCGTTCCGCTTCGTTCCGTTCCGCCAGCGTCGCGGAGGTGTTCGCTGCGGGATCGGTTAAGAAAATCCAGTGTTCCACGGACTGTGCAGCACCGTCTGGGTAGCAGCGGAAACGCCGAGGGCCAAGAACAGAGACACGGTGAAACGGGAAACGGGAAACGGCGGGGAGCACAAAGAGAGGAAGTTGGAAATGTCAGAATTTAACAATCGATTCGCGTGGAGCTCCTTTACGATCGCGTAAAGGATCATATGCCGAATCCGTCGTAAACTCTCGGTACCCGGCTCCTCTCGGTACCCTACAGTTTCTGTTTAAGCCGATTACATCGATTCCATAACAGCGACGAAGACAGAGTCGTTCCGCCGGCTTGGAATTTATCACGGCGACGCCATTCAAATCGCGCTTCCTGCCGGCAGTCTTCCCTGCCTCGGATTGTTTGCCTCCGTTTGCCTCCGTTTGCAAGCCGGGCGCGGACTTCTTGAGACTCTCAATCGAATATTCCCCATTCTTTGTGCCGCTCCCGAGATTCCTGGAACGTTGTTACATCGCGCAGCAGCTTTCGCCGTTCCGTTTTTACTTGGAAATGGTCTGGAACGGCGCGCGCCGTTAACTTTTCTCAAAACGCGACATTCGGAGTGTAAACAAATTTTCGAATGTCGCGCATTATTACCAGACTGCGGGAGATCTGAATTAAATAAAAATTGATCGCATCGATTCTAAGAAATCGAAGTCTGCTGGAAGTCTCTTTCTTTAACGATCTTAATACAAGTTCACGAAAATCGACATCGACGTTCTGAAATTATTTTAATCTTCCCACTGAGCCATGTTTCTTCTGCTCATTTCTCTCGTGAATAAATAAAATCCGCAGTCGAATGGTTACAGTGGCGCTCGGTTAAATTTACAGATGTTCGTACTGTTAAATTTACGTGATATCTGAACGGTTAAATTTACACGATAAACGAACTTACAGGATATCCGTACGGTTAAATTCTACACGATATCCGAACGGTTAAATTCACACGATATCCGCACGGTTAAATTTACACGATATCCGTACGATTAAATTTCACACGATATTCGAACGGTTAAATTTATACGACGTCCGTACGATGAAATTTTACACGATATCCGTACGGTTAAATGTCGCCTGTTATTTCACGATTCAATAAACTTTCTTAAAAGATTGAGTCCATAACTTTTTCCAGCATCGGAGCCGATGACCAGACAGTGTCCCAATCTGGGTCGCTACGAGATAGTGTCGGTGCTTCACTCGCACAATTCAGACAACGCGGACGATTTATTGGGCGTGGACGGAGAGCCGAACATGGCGAATGCGGCCGAGGTTCAAGACAGCGCGGTCACGTTGACACCTTACCCGAGCCGATGCCGGTACGGAAGTGTTCGCCGATTGGAAATCGGCTGCAAGACGCCGGACCGTATGGAGTTCGCCACGTCGTGCAGCAACGAGCCGCCCTCAGGTAAAAAGCACCTGGAATTTGTTCATCGGATCAAGTTGTTCGAGTTTGAAACGGTTTGATGAAATTTGACACTGTTTGGAATTGTTTAAGACTGTTTAAAACTGTTTTAAACTATTTCCAACTGTTTGAAACAATTTAGAAACTGTTTAACACTGTTTAAAACTGTCTGAAAGTGTCTCCAACTGTGCGAAACAACTACAAACTGTTTGAAACTGTGTGATACTGTTTCAAGCTGTTTGAAACTCTTTGAAACTGTTTAAAACTGTTTAAAACCATTTACAACTGTTTGAAACAATTAAAAACTGTTTGAAACAATTTAGAAACTGTTTGACATCGTTTAAAACTATTTGAAACCGTTTCCAACTATTTGAAACAACTACAAACTGTTTGAAATTGTTTAAAACTCTTTGAAACTGTGTAAATCTGTTTAAAACCGTGTAAAACTGTTTGAAGCTGTCCGAAACTCTTTGAAACCATTTGAAACTGTTTGAAACCATTTGGGACAGTTTGAAGCAGCTTGAAACGGCTTTCAACGGCGATTATCGATACCATACTGTTAAATAATTATTAAATAAATATTTCCATTCAGGTACCTGCAAAAATTAAATACAAACAGTTTATAAAAGAACATTGTCAGAACAAAAACTCATATTTCCGTGGACATTTCTCTGACTCTCCCACAATTATGCTAGGGTTAAACATCGCCAACTAGCATTCACGCTCTGTTTCCCTTGCGATAGTTCGTTGTTGTGCGTTCGAGCATAAAAATTCTTGACACCCGACAAGCTGACGAGGGCCCGGGAAGCGGCTGACAGAGAAAGATCGCTGATAGGTTTGAAACGCGGGTTCTGGCGTATGACGTATGCGCGAACCGTCGTCAAGATCTTCTCGTGACCAAAGGGTGCCGTCAGTCTCAGACAATGCCAGCGCGCGAGCGGCAAAGCTTGCCGATTTAAGCTCTCGTTTGCGGTCCATCGGACTCCGTCGAATCTCGTCAAACTACGCGAAACTTCGGGAGACTTCGCGAGACTTCGGGAAATTTCGTCAAACCTTATCGGACACGTTGAAACCGTCTGCGAAAATCACGAAAACACGACCGAGCCGTGTTTCTGACCGCGTTACCGTCGTCTACCGGCGCCAAGGTCTTCTCGTTTGAAGCTCGAGCACGATGCTTTAAGTATCACGAGGAAGTTTTTCGTGGTATCCTCGTCGGAGATCGAGACCCTGTGCACACGGAATCAGACAGGGTGCCGAGTGAATCCTCGGAGGGTGGAGCACCTCCGGCAGGAACATCTTATCGGATTACCCGCACCAGGTCGAGTTATCCTCCCATCGAGGGACGCGTCTCTCGCTCCCCATTTACCTTCACCCTCTCGCCTCTGCCAGGAAAGTTATCGCAAGTGGCGATAGTTAGTTTGCGGGGAGTCAGCGGCGTGACGGTTGTCGTGGTTCCCTGCTTGCTTATGTGCAAAGTTTGTAGCTTTATTCGGTTGTACGTGTTTATGGCGCGTGCAAAGGCCTCCGCGAATATGCTTGCAGCTGGATAACTGCAAAGTCCTCCTGCCTCCGGTTTCTTCGGAACTACCGGCACCGTCTACCGGATCAGACCTCGGTCGTCCAGGTGATCTGATTCTACGAATCCTATTCGGAACTCTGTGCTTACAACGTTTCGCCTGTGTTCGATCTGTTCGCGCGACCGCAACGTCGTCGAAATTATCTACGCCGTGGACGATGCGATGATTCTATTAAAAAATCAATTAGACGGTTCGAAACTGCAGACTCTGCTCTTTAAAATCAGCTATGGTTCGTCTCTCTGCGATTATTTTTGACGCAGCTGTAGGGTTTTTAATAGCAGCATATTTTGAGGTGATTCGAAAATCGGTCTCGATTTGGAGCATCGACGGCACACTTTTTATTCGTACGGCTGTAGAATGGCGAAAAAAATCGTGTGACGATATTTTTGGACTCGTTGGAAAGCGGAGACTCCACGCTTTAAGATAACTGTAGTCACGGTCGCGAAAAAAATTATTGGAACTTTCTACAGGTCCGTAAATTCGGGAAATGGTGAAAAAATGGACATTGTTACTGAAATTATCACTGTTACTGACACTGTAATCTAATTGCAAAATTACTTAGATCGTTCGAAAGCTTATTTTACGCTCTTTAAAATAAGCTAAGGCTGATCCTCCCACGAGTTTTCTTCACAAAGTTACAGAATTTTGAAGATCAAGAAACCTTTTTATCATCGAGCACGATGCACTGTCGATTTAAACATCGATAGAACCGCAACAAAAAATCATAGATCGATATTTTCGAGCTCATTTGAAAGAGGAGATTTCCCGCTACAAGACGCCCGTAGTTTCAGTCCTGAAAAAAATTTCCCCATCTCCCCAGAGCTCCGCGAATTTGCAAAACGTTTCATCAAATCTACCATCGAGAACGTTCATCTAGTAAAATACATGCAAAGACTCGGCGATGTAATTTCGACGAAATATTTATAATATGTTGGCAGTGAGACCGGGCGGAGCCGCGAGAGCAAACCGCGGCGGCACGTTCGTGTAATGACAAGGAAATTTTCCGCGATGGTGTCTCATTCCATGGTAACCGTGGCGGAATTAAACGGGCGCACTTAGAGCGCGGGCGGCGAGCGACGGGCAAAAAAACAATCTATCCGAGGCGGACGAAATTTCACTTACGTCGCGGCCCGAAAGATCAGAGACAGGTGCGGAGGATCGGGCGGCGTGCGAAAGGACTGCGCGCTGAGAGCGGCGAGGACGCGCCGCGGCGTCATCCGTATCGCGCGACCCGTAATCCACAAAAACACGAGTGGATCCGGGCGCCGGGTTAGGCGTTTCGTATCCGGAATTATTTTAGCGGAGAGGAGCGTTGACATAACCGAGGATTTAGGTGCTCGAGCCTCGTGTCTTACGGCTGTCGACAAGGGGATTGCGTTCCGAGCAACGGCCTCTCCCTTCTGTCGGCGAGGAGAACGCGAATTGGTCATTAAGACTTCGTACAAACAGCGATCTTAGCTCCGGCTGCTAGACCGAGAACATCTCGAAACGTCTCGAGCCGGCTTCCCGGCCGTGATCGTTAATCACATCCAGTTCCCGACCGGTGTTTGTCTACGCCCGGATTAGAATCGTGCCAAATGTAGCCTCGCCGGATCTTCTTTCCCGGCTGACGTAATTATTTGATAAGATCCGTCGAATTTTCCACCTCGTGGAACTCCGTCGGACGCGACACTTGGACCAGGTTCCTGACGGGTCCGTCGCCAACTTCCACGATTTTCAACGTTTCCGAAGAATCTTTGAATTTGACCTCTCTTCGCCATTTTTCTTTAGCGAGGTACATTCGCCACCGATTTTTAAAAGGGTATTTTTTACGTTGCACATGTTTTCTGGGCGTTGATGCGAACGTATCGGTCGCTAGAGAAGACTACATTCGTCATGGGACATGTAAATCCACTGTAATATGTCTGATTTTCAGTGATTTTCAAGTTTGAACATGTTTGTGACGGTTTGTGAACATTTCTGCAATCATACTGGTACCTAAAAGGGTCTATAGTCATTGTCAGATTACTGTGGCGACCGCGATATATTTATTCTTCAGTGATTTGCAAGTTTGAACATGTTTGCAAGGGTTTGTGAACGTTTCTGCAAACATGCTGATACCTAAAGAAGCCTATAGTCATTGACAAACATGTCGAGCCCAATATACCTGGTATTCAGTGAGTTCCAAGTTTGAACATGTTTGCGACGGTTTGTGAACTCTTCTACAAACATACCAGTCCCCAAAATGAGCCAGTATTCATCATTAACCACTCTCATCCACCCAAATTAAATCCAGCCTTCAGCGATTTCCTTGTTAGACCATGTTTGCGATGGTTTGTAGACGTTTCTGCAAACATATCGATCCCCAAACGCAGCGCACATAGATCATCGAACACTCTGCTTTGCTCCATGAACCAACCCTTCAATCAATTCGTCCATTGGAACATGTTTGACATGGTTTGAGGACGTTTGCGCAAACGTACGGGTCCCGAAAAATCCGAATAAAATTCTTCCGACTCCGGATTACCATCAGAAAGCAATTACTCGATTTCTGAGCGTATCCGGCTACTTCGAATCGTCTTTTAAAAGTCGTCGAAACTGTGCTAAGATTCTTCTCGAGGATTTTATGGGACCGCGGGTTCGACTAGTCGAAAATCCCGTGGAACCGAAGCGGAGTGGCATCTTTTATGACCATCAGCGCACTCCAATTCCGCTCCTCGGTGGATCAGGCTCTGCAGAATACGATATTTACGAGGCAGGACGAGACCGAACGACGTCCCCCGTAGCGGGTGAATAAAAGGGGAGCGCATTTCAATTGCGCTATTGCTTTCATTATGTCAGATTTATCGGGGATGCTGAAAACGCTGGGACGCCGGGTTCGATCCGCGCGCAGCATATTTCGCTGGAACTGTACCCGGCTGCCGCGTCCCGACCAATTTTTGTTGTTTATTCCCGCGCGGAGAGCGGCGTCGCGAGGCGGCGGCGCGGCGCTGTCGCTCGAACGCTGTAAATTCTCATCTTTCTATCTCGCAGCCTCGATAGGGTATCGGGCCGAGACAACACGCCAGATATCGACGTGTCGAAGCGATTTACGGCTTTCGTTTATTTCGTTCCCGTTCGGTTCGCGCCTTACTCGGCGAAACTCGAAACGTGGCCCGAGCTTTTTCCCAGCCAGCCGCCTTCGGCCGTCCCTCTTTTTCCTCCCCGCCGACGTAAAAGCCGGCCCTCTCGAGAGCGTCTACCCCGTCGGAGAGGGCCGTTTTTCAAGGATTATTTCGAGTGGATCGCCGGGCGCCGCCGGCGAAGAAGTTAATCGCCGGGAGATTCGTATCGAGAGCACGATTTCTTACAGAATAATTAAAATACTTTTTAACCGTCCCGCCGGAAAACAGGCTCGCGTGTAATCTCGACGATGTAACCATTCGTCAGATGCGAAACCGGGTCCACGGCAGCGCGAAGGCATGCCCGGCGAGCCCGTAATTACGCTTCGCAATTAAAAATTGTTAACTTACCGGGACAATAACTTAATTACCTTTCATAAACGTTATGCAATTTCTTCTTTACGGCACTCGTTCCAATTGCTCCCCTCCTTCCTCCCTCCCTCGCTCTCCCGCCCATTTTTCCGTCCCTCTCTTCCGCCCCATCCGCGAACCATCGCGCGCTGTAACTCGGTCGTGAAACGACTCCCTCAAGGCGGCACCGAATCGAACGCTTCAAATCGTCGCATAGATGATTACCCATTCAGCGGGTTTCGTTAAGACGATAAACGTCCCTGCATCGCTTCCGGAATTATTTTCTCGGCAACGATAAACCACTCGGAAATTGTGCTTTTGTGCTTCGATTCTCGATAATGGGGTCACGTTGTCCCGTCACGTAATCCTTCCACGGATTCTCCCGCGAATCCGTCCTGAAAACATACTTTCCCGGCGATTTTCGCGAGCGCAACAATACCTCGGAAACCGCTTGCCGATGCTATTTTTAGTTCCCGAGAAACTCGACGTTCGAGAGAAATTCGCGTTACCGACTTTGACAATTTTTAACTCGCCAACTCTAAAAGGTACGTTAACGAATCTCACGGCGATAAATTCTTTAGAGTCTCCCGAATGAAACGATATTTTTTAGAACAACATTGCGACAAACTAAACGGGCTTAAATCGAGTTCCAAGGTAACCCGAAATGGTAACAAAATGCCACTTCGTGTCTCGCGGAACTGTTTCATTTATTTTTCACTTATTAAGAACGTCGCCATCCGAACTTTTTGTTCGCGGATTCTCAGCGAGAAATGTCCGCTGTATCACGTGGCACAGCGGAGATGTACACGTTCGACGGCCATGTTTCGAAATAAATTGAAAACGCCCGAAAAGCTTGGGTCGTTTAACTCGTCGGACTCGTTGCGACCCCGCGCAATTTTCTCGTGCGAGTGGCATTTGCATAGCTCGAGCAGATTCCGGCGTGAAAGGCGGCCAAAGTTCCAGATACGAGTTCCCCCGCCGAAAAATGCTTCATAAGCCGAATGAGTTACCGGAACACGCTTTCGAAATTTGCATCCGGCCGCGCGCGAGACTCCGCGCGACACTTGGCCGCCGGTCAGAGCGGGCGCGTTGGAAAAGGGAAATTTGCGCGAGGTAAATTTTCTAACGACTGGAAAGTGGTGCGCGGTGCCCTGCTGAAACCTGTTTAAACGAAAAATCGCGACTGTAAAAATTCCCGGGCTCATTAAATATTGTAGGAGCAGTCGCTGCTGCCGTCGTCGTCGTCGCCGCCGCCGCCGTCGCGGTGCCAGCGCTTTTTAATAAGCATTCCTCAGATGGCTTGATAAATGTAAACCGAAAAGTTCCCGGCTAAGGTACTCGTATCTCGGCGCTGCTCCGCTTATCATCCAACTTTCTTTCGACGAGTTATCAAGAAACATAGTTAGCTGAAACTTTAATACCCGGTACACCGAAAGGAAAATATCGCGACCCCGGCGGTGCCGCGCGCTGATTTTTACAGAAATTTTCTGCCACTTCGTCCACGGTCTCGGGCCATGAATCCCGACCGTACCCGCGGCTAAATAAGCCGCGGCCGTTCCTCTGTCCTCGCTGATTTATCCGCCGGTTTCGGACGGTTTAACGACGAGCAACAAAATCATGAAATACACTCGCCCACGGGAAAGTGCGTTGACAGGCTTCAAAAGGGTGCAACAAAAGCGCGGACTTCTTGTAGAAGCTGCAAGAACACGGCCGCGGTATTTTCATGGCTGCGCCGCACTGTTGTAACAGTAGTTACGGAATTTTTTCAGATTTTTCAATTCGGTGCGTCGCTGTTTAAACAATAATTGAACGCGAAATGTTCGACGTTCTTCGCGTTGAAAGTAACTTTTGACGAAATTATTGTGTTTTTCGTTCTGTAAAGTTATTGGGTGATGTTAAACATTTCATGGTGATAAATAATGTGTGTAATGAAGGTATCATTGTTAAAAGTTGTTATATGTTACTGTAAAGTTAGTTGGCTTTATATTTATTGAATAAGACGTATTCAATTTTTTCGAGGAAAAATGAACGAGATAAAAGAATGGAAAAATTTAATATGTTTTATTTGTTAAGTATAAAGTTAATTTAAGACAAATCATAGGCATACTGATCGCCTCCACTACCCTAATTATTTTAATAATTTTAAAATATCGTTTTTCTGCCGATTGGAATTATTAAGAGAATGTACAGTCGCCTTGGAAAGTATTATATAATAATGCCTTTTCAAAGGGAATAACTTTGTTAAGATTGATTCAAAGGACTTGAATATTTTTGAGACGTTGCACCGACTAGTTTTCTATGAAATGAGTATACAAAAAGTTTTTCAGATTGCAATTGATTGGAATGATAAAAAAATTAAAAAACGATATTCCTTAAACTTTTTTATCTGAGCCCACAACGAAAATTTAAAAAATGCATTTTGTAACTTATACATCTAACATCTGAAAATTGTTCAAGTCCTTCGAACCAATCTTAACCCTTAGCACTCGAAGCCACTTCAACAGTAAATCTAAAATAATTTTTCTGTCTCACATGGTATTTTCATTTTACACGAAAAAGTGCACTTTATGCATACGATATCGAGCGTTGCGACTTACATCTTTAACAGGCCTTTAAATCGAACCTTCGATAATTATCTTAGAACGTGATACAACAATTTTCGTGGTGCCTCGGTGTCAGTCGAGTGCAAAGGGTTATAGAAGTTATTTGAAAAGGCGTTAACGTATTTTCAGAGGCGAATGTAGTCGTCGCGTGTCGCGATTAACGAAGGGAACTTTCGCTTTGCATAAAGGAAGCGTAACGCGCCATCTACTTAAAGTCAACTGAGCATTCTCGTGATTTGCAGAATACTGGTGCCACGGAACCTGGATCGAGAACGACACAGCTTACTTGGTCGCGAGCACAGACGTCGGTCGTTACTGCCTCGTTTACAGTGCATCAGCCGCGGCGACAGGAAGTCGTGAACTCTCGGTGACGGGTCATCTTGCTTCCTGTCCGAGGGCCTCACACCGTCATCTACTATCGTGGCAGGTCAACCTCACGTCGTACGGTGAGCATTGTTGACACCGTGCCGCTCATCGAGACTTCTGTCGGCGCGCCGACCCGCCGAGCCGGCCGCACGGCTCGCTGCGTTACCCTCTAATTAATTCGATTGCACTCGCATCGATACGGAACTAAGTCAACTTTTAATCAAGCAAGAATTCCGCTTTGAAGGCCGAGTCGCCGATCTGATATCGCGAACTGATTTAATTACCTCCGGCGGAAAATTGGCTGGCAACTTCGTGTTCCGAAGACACCTAGATTCCTATAAGATCGCTCGGTTAATTAGTCGCCGAACCACAAAATCTATCCCGAAGTTTGTTCACCGAGACTTCTGACTCCGCCTGTATCCAGCCACCGCCGAAACGTCGCTCCCCGGACGCCAGGAGTTTGACCATGTTTGAAGCAGTCTCGCGCGCGCGATTTGTCCGAACTTCGTCGATCGTGATCAGACGACGCGATAAATATTTGTGCACACTCGTCGCCGGTGCATAATTTCCAACAGAAAAATTCACACCCCTTCCTGAAACTCGGCGAAAAATTACGACGTAACTTTTAAGAAGAATCGTTTTGTACTTTCGCAGAAAAAAATTCTCGAATACAACCTCGCTTTTATTGTCCGAAGCCTGGTTACTCTGTCGTTCAAATGTTCGCATATCCGTTTCTAGCGGATGCTTCTCGATATAAAAATTCGCGAACAATCTCGAGACACGATGCAAGCAACGGTAAAAATTTCGAGGAAAACCGCGTCGCCGTTTCCCGGCGAAAAAATCCCGATTCCCGTTGTCCCGGGAGCGGCCTGTTCCCGACTCGCTCCTGAAACGAATGTTTGGTTTGCAGCGCAATGCAGCGAGATTTCGATGGCGACGTCGTGGACGTACCGTGTCTCGGCCTCCGTGTACATCTGCATGGTGCTCGGCATCCTGTTCGGCAGGTATATCGTGAGGTGATGCTGCTGAGTGCAGAGACCCGGCCACGCCGCGACCGGCGTGTAGTCATCGAGCAGCAGCAGCAGCAGCAGCAGCCACGAGATGGAAGAGACACACCGAGCAACGGCGGACTGCAGAATCTATACATATATACATACACAAGACACACACACCTATATACGCCCACGTGTATATCTATATAGATTTCGTAAGACGGACGGGACATTTTTTCGGGAAGAGCCGAGGCCGGCCGAGGCGAGGCCCGCCGGGAGAAAGTAACCTAATTAATCGAGCCTAGTGGATAAGTGACCGTAGCGGCGGCTGTTGTGTCGGTGAGAAAGAGACTATTGAAACCTGCTAGTTCCTTCGTCGGCGAACGTGGCGGATCCCCGGACGAACAAGTTGTACATACCGTAGCAATACGTTCGCGGAACGCTCTCCCTCCAACGCGACAGGATCTTCCCGACAGTGTCATGTGAAGAAGCCGGACACCGGCCAGCCGCTTCCTCGGGGCTGCCGACACACCCCCCGAACCCCCCGCGAAGCCTGCACTAATCGTCGAACACCGGTGTCCACTCCAATATACCTGATAATCAGCGATCTCAACGTTTCGACCACGTTTGCGACAGTTTCAGGACGTTTGCGCAAACCTGCCGGCACTCGGACGCAGTCTACGCTGATCGTAGGCCATCCTATCTATCCTAATGTGTCTGGTTTCTCGTGGTTTGCATGTTGGAACGTGTTTGAGGTGGTTCAAGCACGTTTGCGCAAACGCGCTCCTTCCTGAAACGCGATCTGCACCGGTCGTCGGTTGCGGATCCACTACAGTACGCCCGGTCCTCGGTTGTTTTGTGCGGCGGAACATGTTCGCGGCGGTTCGAACACGTTTGCGCAAACATGGCCCCGCAGAAACATCGGAAAGAGACTGCTCCGTCTAACGCGTGCCGATTATGCTGTCGTTCGCGTTCCGACTGGGTGTAGAGTAGTCCGGTAGCGCCTGAAGTTTCGAGGAAATAATCAGTCGAATTTAAATAGAAACAAATTTGATATACAAAATGATGCTACAATTATTGTACGAGCGGGAAATGGTTCCTAAGGTCATTTGAAGCAACTTTTTCCTTTAGAAAATTTTTCTTCGAGGCGTCGTTAACGAGTTATTAACGAGAAACAGTGACCAATGAGGAGCGAGCTCGCTAGCCGCTAGGCGGCCGAGCCAACGAACGGAGCAGGGCTCCGCCCGCTCGCCCGTGGGCTCCGCCTCGCGCCAGCGGACCTCGCCTCTGATTGGTCTCCGTTTTTCGTCAATAACTCGTAAATGACGCCGCGGATTGCATTTTCGCTAAGGAAAAAGTTACTTGAAATGAGCTCGGCAACCTGTCAATCTCCCGGAAATACCATAATTTTGGGACAGCCTGTATATCGTGCGACGAATGTGAAGTTAATCCTGCTTGAGAACGAATGAAAGACGCAGCGTTTGGCTGCCCCCACGGTAACTGGTTCCACTGGCCTACGCCACAGTGGCCAACCGTGTGCTTGCAGCGAGGCAACCCAGCGAAACCGAGTCCACGAGTGTCCGACCGACGACGAGTCTCTGTCATTGTGCGATTAGTATCGGAGGACGCGAGCGCGAGCGAAGGGTGTTCGTTGGAATAAAATTCGGTTTCCAGGGGGACGGAGGAGCCCGGGGCTGGCGGGGCGGAGCCGGGCGTCGCGACGAACAGCGAGAGACGCTGCTGGCCACCCTACGCCCTACGGTTCGCCAATATTTACGCGTCCCGTCGCTGATCAGCGTGTCCGCTCCGGGCGCAGACTTTTTTCACTTGATCGGACGAAGATGAAAGGGGGAAATGGGATTGGAGGCCGAGGAATTGGGGAGCGCCGAGGAGGGGACGGCGGCGAGGTGTTTCCTCGGTGAACCGGTTAAGAAACAAACGCGAGCCGGGATTTCGGGAACGAACGCTGCCGTCTCTAAATATTTGAAAATCGCCGGAGGGTGGGGGAGCCACCTGGTGAAACACCTAAGGACATTACGGTAAATTTTTCTCGATTGTTTATCGACTTGCAAACGAAAATGGACAATTTGGGAGGAGACGCGATTGTTCGAAGCCTCGCGGCTTTTTGTAGTTGCCGATTGTTAACGATTATAAAAATGAGACACGAGGCTCGAATAATCGTGTCTCCTCTTCCCATATTGTCCATTTCGGTTGCGAGCTGAGGGACAATTGGAGAGAATTTACTGTATTTGGTCGGCTCGGGAGCCGATCGGCGCGAGTCCTTAAAATTTATACGAATAAGCGTTCCGCGAATCAGCTGTGAACGAATAACAATGCCATGAAACAAAGCGCGAAGAACAATTTTTATTGTAAGATGGCACACAAATGTCAAGGTTTTGTGTTTTAGAAGAAACAATTCTCGCGGATCTTTATGTAAAATAAAAATCATCAATTTCAATAAACATANCGGCAACCTGTCAATCTCCCGGAAATACCATAATTTTGGGACAGCCTGTATATCGTGCGACGAATGTGAAGTTAATCCTGCTTGAGAACGAATGAAAGACGCAGCGTTTGGCTGCCCCCACGGTAACTGGTTCCACTGGCCTACGCCACAGTGGCCAACCGTGTGCTTGCAGCGAGGCAACCCAGCGAAACCGAGTCCACGAGTGTCCGACCGACGACGAGTCTCTGTCATTGTGCGATTAGTATCGGAGGACGCGAGCGCGAGCGAAGGGTGTTCGTTGGAATAAAATTCGGTTTCCAGGGGGACGGAGGAGCCCGGGGCTGGCGGGGCGGAGCCGGGCGTCGCGACGAACAGCGAGAGACGCTGCTGGCCACCCTACGCCCTACGGTTCGCCAATATTTACGCGTCCCGTCGCTGATCAGCGTGTCCGCTCCGGGCGCAGACTTTTTTCACTTGATCGGACGAAGATGAAAGGGGGAAATGGGATTGGAGGCCGAGGAATTGGGGAGCGCCGAGGAGGGGACGGCGGCGAGGTGTTTCCTCGGTGAACCGGTTAAGAAACAAACGCGAGCCGGGATTTCGGGAACGAACGCTGCCGTCTCTAAATATTTGAAAATCGCCGGAGGGTGGGGGAGCCACCTGGTGAAACACCTAAGGACATTACGGTAAATTTTTCTCGATTGTTTATCGACTTGCAAACGAAAATGGACAATTTGGGAGGAGACGCGATTGTTCGAAGCCTCGCGGCTTTTTGTAGTTGCCGATTGTTAACGATTATAAAAATGAGACACGAGGCTCGAATAATCGTGTCTCCTCTTCCCATATTGTCCATTTCGGTTGCGAGCTGAGGGACAATTGGAGAGAATTTACTGTATTTGGTCGGCTCGGGAGCCGATCGGCGCGAGTCCTTAAAATTTATACGAATAAGCGTTCCGCGAATCAGCTGTGAACGAATAACAATGCCATGAAACAAAGCGCGAAGAACAATTTTTATTGTAAGATGGCACACAAATGTCAAGGTTTTGTGTTTTAGAAGAAACAATTCTCGCGGATCTTTATGTAAAATAAAAATCATCAATTTCAATAAACATACAGTCAAATAGAAATTTCTTTCTTCCTTTAATAATTTCAGTGAGTTGAAAATAATACACGCAAGATCTTAAAATTTTTTATATCTATCTATTTTTATTATATACGTGAGGGGTTAAAAATGTGTGATTAAAATTGAGAACAGTGTGAAAGGATTCGAAGAAGAGCCTGAATCGTTGGTGCACTAATTTCACTTTATCAAAAATACTGCGAAACGAAATCAAATTATACTTGGCTCCCACATCTTGCAATTGTTACGGACAATTTTTATTTTGCATAAAGATCCGCAGTCTGGTCGCAAATAGCGCTATCTGTTACTTATTTACGGAGAAATCGACGATATCGATTCGTCGATCGGAAAGATCCTACACAATAAACGATGCGTTTGAAAAGTGGACTTGCACTGATCGATCGGCTTTCGAGACCGTCCATTTGTTTCGCGGTTCAGGGTGGGTCACGCACCAGGGTCGATGTAAAATATGAGAACGATGGGAGAAACGACACGGTGATTGTTCCGAATTTCTCGGCGACTTTGAGAGCCTGCTTCACGGTCGCCGAGAGGAAACTTCCGAATGATTACTAGAACAAAAAAGACGCAGGGACCGTCGCGACCGAAATGGATCAGAATTTCGATCGGAGGTAAAAATCGTGAGATTTTCGATCTAACGCTAGATTTTCGGAGCACTGAAAGCAGAGGTTTTCTATCAGTTTGTAAAAGTAACGAAAAGACGTTTATTTCTGATTTTTGAAGAGCGTTATTATAATATTTGCCGTAAGTAATATATAAAGTATATCCCAAAATTATGGTACTTCCGGGAAACGAGAGATTCCTGGGGTCATTTGAAGTAACTTTATCCTTTACAAAAATTTTCTCCGAGGCGTCGTTAACGAGTTATTAACGGAAAACGGTGACCAATGAGAGGCGAGCTCGGCTAGCGTGAGGCGGAGCCCCCGGGCGAGCGGACGAAGCCGAGTCCCGCTCATTGGCTCGGCCGCCACGCGTCAGCAGTTCTTGGCTCTCATTGGTCACCGTTTCTCGCTAATAACTCGCAAACGAAGCCGCGGATTGCATTTTCGCTAAGGAAAAAGTTGCTTCAAATCACCTCAGGAATCACCCCGTTCCGGATGTTAAAATAATTACGAAACACCCTGTATATTGAGTAAGTATCTAATAAATGACACAGACGTATCTTTACCACTCTGAATAATTGTAAATCGAGGAATTAGTGACGGGTTATTTTGACGGGTTCCGTGAACCTAGCGTTAAGCGCGCGAGTTCGCGGCGAGGTGACTTCCATTTTGGTTGCACACGGTCCCCGTTGAAAATGTGCTACGGAAAGCACAAAAATAAGGGTGCTGGGGCCAATACTGTGTGCGTCGTGTGGTGACTGTCGCCCAGGTGTGCGAGGTCGACGAGGCAAGAGAGCGAGAGAGAGAGCGAGAGAGAGAGAGAGCGAGAGAGCGAGCGAGAGCGAGCGAGAGAAAGCGAGAGACAAACTAGTACTTATTTAGGTTCGCGGGGCGTCCGCCATATTCGCGACGTGACCGGGTCAGGCGCGAAACGCGTGTCCGCCGGAGCAAGACGAAACAAAACCGTGGCTCCGTTTCGGCCGCAATTAGACGCGTTTTAATTAAACTTCCGCGACGGGGACCGAGCGCAGGCGGAAGAGAGACTGTGTGTGCGTGTAAAAATGAAGAGAGAGAGAGAAAGCGAAGTCGAGGTGGCACGGGATTGAAGTGGCTGCCCGGGTCTCGCTGAGCCACGAGTACCATGGCGAACGAACGATTCTAATTATAACTATTATTGTACGTGCAGGGAACGAGCGTGTAAATGGACTTCTCCCTTCGTCCGTGTCTTCTTTTTCACTGTGTTTTTCTTACCTCGCCCACCCTCCGGCTCTCATTCGCGCTCGCCCCCTTTGGGGACCATTGTTGGCTCCACGATGACGCCTTTCGAGGCTGTTTCCAACACCGCCGTCGAAACTGGAGGCTAATCTACGCGGCTTAACCTTCGATCGCGCGTCGATTCGACGTGTGTCGCCCTGCGAAACAAGCCATCAAAAATGTGGCCACCACCGGAAGCTTAATCTTAGCCTGGATGTGCCGGCGAACGAGGCTCCGTCGGGATCGACCCTCGGATCAACCGAAGACATCTTGGTCTAACTTTTCTACTGGCCTAATCGCTAGCCTAACTCGAATCTAAATCGTTCGATCTGTAAAGGATCTTTGCTTTAAATCGCGGTGTCGCGGTGAACTTCCTGGAACCATGAGCGCAGCTGGAATACGCGAAAACTGTGGGGACGAGAGCTTGACCTATGGGTTGGTTCCGCGAGCCTAATCGCGCGAAGCACGACGACGAAATTGTCGAAACGACTGTCTTATTTTCAACGTAACATCGTCCTCGATTTTGTCACCTAGCATCGCCGATTAATTCCCGTTGCAACAGCTAAAAACTCGGGTGAGAAGACGGGCATACCCTATGCCAGCTCGATGTTCTAAGCGATCCCGTAGTGCCATCGGCGAACCGGTATAGTGATCGAATTATTGTTTGGATATTCTTTTAGAGCACTGCGAACAGTATCGTGTACGTGCGTCGATTCGATATATTCGCGTTTGTTTGGAAGTCCAGGACTAGGAAAGACTCTAATTGGCGGGTGACGATGGGACTAACGATTACTGAGAGACACGACATATCGATATCGGACGAAATCGAGCTAACGAACCGAATACGCTGCTTGGGCGGAGGTTGCACTGTGCAGTAGCGACTAGGTAAATTAATCAAGCACTTTGAACCGTGTTAAGAGACTTCAAAGTATAAGGAGAGGGAGAGAGAGAGAGAGGGGCAGAGAGCGATAGACCACGGAGACGTGACAGGAAAGTGGGAATCCTTTTAGCGAGAGAAAGAATCGTGGGAAGAAACCCAAAACCTCGACAAAGTACACATATTTTTCACTCGAAGTATTTTAATTAAGGACGCCGATTTTAAGGACGACGGTAGGGGGAGGGGAGACTACTTGGTCGCATGCTAGTCGATTACTATACATACTTGGTTAGTTGGGTATACATACTATAAATATGAATATAACACGGAATAAAAGTGAATATAAATATATAAATAAATCTATGCAAATATACAGAATTATATAAATACACGAAGACAGGTCGATGTTGGCTATAAACTGTACACTATTAGATAACGAAGAAAAATGAGACAAAAGACGGCGGTGCGTTCGTGACGGTTGTCGACATTGAAGCTCTTTCACATTTTCAATTGATATTTCCCATCGGTAAATTCAACAAACTCCGTAATTATTTCGAAATTATGTATCGCTACAAAAGTTACATTTAATTAAGAAGGCGGCCGGGTTTAAATTTTCGACAACACGAACGAGGAACCACGAACTCCAATAATCCATATGTTAATAAATATTTGATAATTGAATTTAACAATTAAATTTAATAATCAGAGATTTAATAGTTAAATTTGATAATTAAAGATTTAACAGTTAAATTTACTAATTAAATGCTTAATGGCTAAATTTAATAATTAAAGATTTAATAATTAAATTTAATAATCGAAGATCTAATAATCAAATTTAATAACTGAAGATCTAATTAATTAAATTTAATAATTAAATATCTAATAATTGAATTTAATAATTGAAGATCTACTAACTAAATTTAATGATTGAAGATCTAACAATTGAATTTAATAATTAAAGATCCGATAACTAAATTTAATCATTAACGATTTAATAATTGAATATTTATTAATGTACAAATAATTTGTCCCTCGCCTTTTCCGCAAAGGGAAGGGGGGGGCAATTTCCACCTATCTGTAAATAGTAGCTTTAACGATGAAACGAACGAAAAGTAAAAGAACGAACGAAGAGCATAAAAATATCGTCAATCGATACTGTGTCGCGATCTCCAAGTCGCTGAACAAAAGTTTCCTGTAAAAAGCGTCACCACGTTGACGACGAATACGACGACGACGACGACGACGATGACGACGACGATGACGACGACGACGACGACGACAACGACGAAGGAGAAGAGAATTCGGTTTTATATAGATCGCGAGAGTGTAGATTTCAGGGTATTTATATCGAGGGTTGAATAGTTATACAGAATATACGAAAATATTTAAATATAAATTATATTATAAATACAAATATGGAGGAGTATATTATCTATAAATATATATATAAATATATAAATATATTATATACTATGTTTTTATTGTTGTGAAGTTACTCGAACGGCCGTAGGCGACGCTGTCGTCGGTGGGGATACACTCGCGTTTCATCGAAGAGGGACGAAAAAGAAACGAACGTTGTCATTTCAATAATCATTCGATCCGTCGTCGCGTCGAAACACTGACAGTCGAACCGCTTCCCACCGATCACTCTAAATTCAGTATAAAATCCTTTGAAAAACAAAGAGACTATTCCAATCAAATGTTCTGTCGTAATCGAAGAGTTCCGAACTGATCGAATCGAATTCTGTAAAATTCTCTGTAAAAAAAGTTCATTCTGTAAATATTAGACGCTAATCATTTTCACGTGAGAAACAAAAATGGTAACGGCGCTTGGAAACACAAAAGGACGAGAGCTGTCAGTGTTTGAATCGACGGTGTCTCTGGGGAGACGCAGAGGCGCGCCACCTGTTCTCTCATTTACATGCAGCGAAATCCGATCACGGCAGTTGCGTGACCGACAGGCGAATTTCGATCTACGAATGGAAGCGAGCGTACCGTTTTCCCTGTGATGCTGGCAGAAATGTATCCGCATTCTTTCGAACGATGTAAAATACTGTTTATATTCCAACGAGAATTCGCAATGGACAGGTATCTGCGAGGCTGCGTGGGTGGTGGGGGATATGCGATGGGCAAATGGTCGCGGAAACCTCTGTAGATGTCGCCTCGTCGGCTGTCGCGTGTTCTTCGCGCCGCGTCAAACCGCGTCAATCCACGGCGAATCGCTTGAAAACGGTCTCAAACCGCGTCAAACGGTCTCAAACCGCGTCAAACGGTGTCAAACCACGTCAAACGCCGGCCGGAAGGCAGAATCGGCGCAGAGAGCAGGCGAATCGACCGAGAGAAAGGCGAAGAAAAGCGAGAAAAACCGAAAAAAAGAAAAGCGAAATTAAAAAAACGTTTACCTCCCCTCGTTGCGCACGCACGTCACTGCCTGTAGAACGAAACACAACGACTACTGCCGTCTCTAGTCTTAGCGATTTACACGATAATTCCGATTTTGTAAACGAGGAGGCTCTAGCCCGCGATTGTCGTCTGCGGTTCGCGCGGGATCGAGAATTATTTTTCCAGATAATTCTCGCCGTCGTTCGTCGCGGTGCATCGGCTTCAAACGGCGTCAAACATGCCCTCGGCCGTGGATGAACGACAGAAAATTAGCGTCGCGAGGCGAGATTAGACTTCGAACTAAGTGCGGAACATCGTCGGACCGCGTCAAATCGCCTCAAACAGCGTCAAACATCGTCAAACGGCGTGAAACGGCGTCAAACATCGTCAAACAAACAGCGTCAGAATCGCGCCGCGAGCCTCGAACGACAATCGCGACCGCGATAACCGCGCTAGACAAAGTATAGTCGCATGACGCAAAGGAAACCTGATACATTTTTTTACCGAACGAAGGGACAGAAGGTTTCGCGAGCCGCCACGGTGAGACGCGGGGTGGGGGCGTTAGCGTCGCCGCGCGATCCCGCGAGCGGATTTACGGGCGGAAGAGGAGACGACCGAAAAAAAAAGAAACGACCCGAGCGGCGCACACGTTTTCTGCTACTCCGAAAACACCGAACCGACGGTACTCTAATCCCTAGAAATTGGATCCACGCTTGAAAGCTACGAACTCTTATACATAACTGAGTGTTTTACTATCGGATTACAAAATATTACGGCGATACTTATTAATGTAAATGGTTTTTCATTACTATATTATAGATGTTACTTAATAATATATTTACAAATAATTAAGCCAGAGCTGTTGTTTCATTCGTACCCCGCCTCGGTCCTTACTTGCGGTCCGCGGAGTTCTGGGTAAGTATTCTGCGCCAGCGAATTTATTTACTAACGAGTTTGCAAGTTAATTAGTAAGTTAAATATCGAAAAAATTTGACGCGGTTGTTGCATCGTTTTAAATTATTTTCTACACGAGCAAATTAATGAATTGAGCAATAAATAATCTACTGCGAAAAATCGCGATTTCAGCGGCGGTTGAATTATTTTCCGTGCGAAGGAATTATTTATCGATTTATTCATCTGGTCTTATGAATTAAATTATCCACACTGTGATATTTTTTAGTGTCTGGGCAAACAAGTGCATGCAAATTGTTTAATATCTTTCCAAAACTGCGATGATAAGTAATAACAATTTCGAAATTGCCTCGGATCTAGATTCGACATTAATTAAACGAATGATTATTAATCGATTAAACGAATGGAATTAGTGTCAAAGAATTGCTAAGTATTTTTCCGAGACCGTGGTGTCGAATCGGCGGCAAATTAAAAGGTGAAATTAACAATAAACGAACAATGTTCCGACAATAAATATGTTTTTATTACACATACATCTCGTACGAGGGTTACACGATATTAATACATGTTCATTTAACTGTCCAGCAATCAAACACGTTGTATTTTTATCTTCTATTTTGTCTCTCGCAACCATCAGCGTCTCGTATCAACGGTATTTATGACCAGTCGTCATCGTCATCGTCGCCACCATTGCCATCCAGTGGTGAAATATACAACAAGCACACATCTCATGTAGAATTCATTGGCATCGTCATACATGGTAAAACATTTGTTAGATTAGGCATGAAACTGCTCCTCTCTAAGGGAGCCGAACATCGACCAACGAAAGAAAAACGAAACAATGCGCGGGGGGGGGAGGGAGTGAGTGTTTCTCGGTGTATACATGAGCGTACATTATCCGTGTGTATATGCGTGTGTATGCGCGTGTGCATGTATGCATGGGCGGGCGAGAAAAAAAAGAATGGAGAAGAATCGTGCGATCGGTGTCTAAAAACGGGGATGAAAAAGAAGTGATTTCTCGTCGTTCGATCGGTCGTTATCTCGCTCGAAACAGAATTTTTTCTCCGTCGTTTCGCTACGTCGACCAATTTTAACGCAATTCTCCGCTCTTCTCTCCTGTTCTCTCCGTTTCTCCTTTTTTCGCCCGTTCCGTTTTCTCTCGTCTTCGATTATATTTTTTTTTCATTTTCTCTCTCTCTCTCTCTCTCTCTTTTCGTTTAAATCAATTTTCGATTCGATCGACGCAAATCCGATTCGGTATATGTATATGTATATATATATCTCTCTCGGCGGATGTTCTCGCGACATTGCCAAAAGGATCCCAGGGTCCCCGCACGCCTTTGTCACGCCACTGTCGCATCGTTATCTCCTGCCTCTCGGTTTAAACGTTTAATTATCATTTGTTACGTCGTTTGTTTACGCATCTAAGAAGTTCGTTAAGTTAATCATCTGCTTAATATCTAATCTCGGTAGCCTTATGTGATACTCTTATAGTCTAGGCTTGGTGGCCAGCACCAAAAACATTCACTAGATTCACTGCCTACGACACAGATACAGAGTTTTCGCGTCTTTCGCGAGGGCGGGCCTCGGCGCCTCCGTCGATCGCTCCGCGAATTAAATAATCGTAAATCCACCGAGGGAAACGATGATCGCGTCGTCCGTCGCAATAAACGACGTCGAGTCTCGTCGACGAACCGCGCGACCGTTGCCCCCTTCGATCCCGGGTAATGTAAAATTCGCACGATATAAAAAAAGAACGATAGAAAACGAGAACGCGAGTACAAAAATCAATCGCCGTGCTTTCTTCTTCTTCTTCTTTTTTTCTTTTTCTTTCTTTTTCGAATTCTCCCGCCGAAAGGTGCCGAACCGAGTTCCCACGAGCGTCGGCCAATCGGAGCGCGGCCCAGGCCCGCCGGAAAGACAGCGTTTTACGTTCCCGAGTTTGAATTGGCGCTCGGCGACCGAGACACGACCGGTCGGTCGCCCAATACTATGCTGAACAATGATCTCGCGGGATCATCGACCTCGATCGTCGACCCAGACAGGTCGTGACCGTGAACTGTCCCGGTCGGCGCGCGCAATTTGAGCGATTCACAGACATCCAAGCGAGAGTACTTCGTATTTTTTCTGGGTTTTCCTCACCACCCTCATCATCATCATCATCATTATCATATTCATCATCATCATCATCATCATCATCATATCATCATCTTCATCATTAGTTTTGTTTTTTTTTCCTTATGTCTCTTTAAACACATCGAGCTGAAGGTTTCTATCTAATTAATTTTTCCTCTTGTCACGGATTATGATTCTCTAAATCTACCATCGCTAGAAGCCAGAACGTGCGATGATTCCTCGCAGGAAATGTGTCATTTTTGTTTCGCATTTTGTTTCATTTGTGCATATCTCTCTCTTTCTCTCTCTCTCTGTCCTCTTTGTTCATAAGAAATTTCGCTTCCCTCCTTGCTCCGTCGTCCACGTCGCTCCGTGATCGTTCCCCTAAGAGAACATCCGCGCGGAGAGACGCGCGCGACGGAGCATCCTCGTCGACGACGGCGCGACTAACATTCTACTCTTTGGTTAAAAACGATCGTGTACGCGCGCGCATGCGTGTGTATGTATGTCCTTACATGTGTGTGTCGCGACGCGCTCGCGTTTGTGTGTACGCGCGCGTGTATGTGTGCAGTGTGTGGTATGTGTGTGTGGTATGCGTGTGTGTGTGTGTCGAACGGCGGCTACGTTAATTTTAATATGAACAACAGAAAGTGAAAAGGCCAGCCTTTAGCGCGTGTCTATATTAAAATTAATCGTTCAACTCGTTCCGGGCCGGCAGCCTCTCGCTCGAGAACGAGCTGTCGGCCGTGATTGGAACAGCAGACCGTTTCCGATGTCCCATGCGTCTTCGCGTCCCCCTTGCCTCTCTTCCTCTACGCACTAATTAGCGAGCATGACGAAATCTTACGATTAGGGATAGGCTTAGTTCATCTAACGATTAGGTTTGTTGCCGAAGTGATTCATCGGTGAACCAAGGATGAGCATGAAGCGCGATACTAACGATCCTCCGGACACTAACGATCCTCTCTCGCCTGATCCATGACCCCGTGCGTCCCTCCGCGTGATCATCCGGGGGGCTTCCACCGACCGTTCCGCCCGAAAACCCGGTTTCCCAATCTCTGACTAGTTTGCCACGGTGTGTCGGTGAACAGGGTTTCTCACCGGGAGCCTTCGAGCTTCGTCACGGTCCAACGACGAGGCCTCTCGCCGGCTGGCCGAGGATGCGGAGAGGCCGACACCCGGCCGGCAGCTTCTGCCATGTTCGATTGATATGTCTGTACGGAGTCCGTTGCCGCGCGGCCTCGGACCTCGGCATCCTCGCAGCCGATCCACAAACGCTCCTCCAGGTCCTCCAGGTACATATATGTATATAGATATAGATATATGAAGAGATTCGTTCGCCTCCTTCGAGCTCAGGACATCCATTCAGCGGCCAGGTGTGATCGAACGACAAAAGGGTAGGGGGGGCGAAAGAAAAAGCGACAATGGTAACAACGACGATGCTCTCTCTCTCTCTCTTTCTCTCTCTCTCTCTCACTCTTTCACACACGATTCTTCAGCGGTAGTCTTCTTCGTCATCCGTTCACCGTGTCTTCCATGAGCCGACTGTCTTCACGCCGAGGACTCAAGCTCGACGCTCTCGGTACGCCTCGTGCCAGCCGAAGCGCAACGACTTCTGGGACCGTTCCTCGACCTGAGGACCCGCGTCAGTGACGAGCAAACGGGTACCGAAACGTGCGAGCTCCCCTCCTCGACGGCGCCCCTTGCAATCTCCTCAGCGGATGTCTTCCACGCGCTCGCCTATTCCGCGACTTTTCTTGTCCTCTTGATCTTCTTCCTTCCCTGTCCGCAGCTTTCTTCTACTGTCGCACAATGCCTCCCGATCCCATCCTTGCCGGCTTCTTACGGTTTCTGACGACTTCTTGCGGTTTCCTACGGCTTCTTACGATCTCCTGCTTTCTTTTAGTCTTTCTTACTATGCTTCACGGTTTCTTGCTCTTCCTCGCGATTTCTTACGATGTCTTGCACTTTCTTAAGTCTTTCTTGCTCTTCTTTACGCGATTTCTTACTCTTTTTTTTACGGGTTCTTAATCTTTCTTCTTGTTTTCTGCTCTTCCGTACGATTCCTTGCTCTTTTTCAGCCTTTCTTTTACATGATTTCTTGTTCCTTTTTTAACGATTTTCTACTGTTTCCTGCTGCTTCTTACTCTCCCTTACGATTTCTTACGGTTTCTTACTCTTTCTTAGTCTTTCGTACTTTTCCTTAGACGATTTCTTATTCTTTTTTTTACGATTTCCTACTGTTTCTTGATATTTCCTACTCTTCCTTGCGATCTCTTACGATTTCTTACTCTTTCTTAGTCTTTCTTCATTGTTCTTAGTCTTTCTTACTTCCTCTTAGTCTTTCTTAATCTTTCATATTCTTCCTTGCTCATTACTATTCTTTCATACTCTTTCCTATTCTTTCACCATCATACTCCATCACATACTCTTCCTTGCACACTGCCTCTCTAACTCCATCACAATCCGTCCCCAAATCCTTTCGAATCCTCGACGCAACAGAAAAGACCGTTCCCCTTCACTCGTCCATGTCCCCGAGCTAGCAGCGACTAGACGTGTTGCGGTTCGCTTCCGTGGCATTCCCAGAACAGGCTCGCTCTTCCACCGTCCCAGGGAGTGGAGCTTGGCCAAAAGGTCAGTAGGTCGACACAAAGAGACCCGGCCGGGCGACAGCGAGCTAAGTGTCACTGGCGCACACGCCACCAGGTCTGCTGCACCTTCTCGTGGAGCTTCCTGCAAATACCCGCGAGCCTCCGTCACATCCCAGCCTCCGCGGCGTTCTCATCCAGCTCACCGCCCCCGCCCTCGCCGGGCAGGGTGTCTTCGGCCGCTTCGCCGGTGTCCCCGGTGTCCGTGGCGTCGCCGGTCTCGTCGCCTTCTTCCAATGTGACCTGCGAACACACCGGTATCGACTATACGTTTCGCTAAAAAATCGCTAGGAAATTTGCTCGGATTTCGCGAGAACGAAATTCTAGAAAAATATTGGATGAAAATTGGCCGAGTTCGGGTAACGATTACTCCGCGAGAAATCGTCGCAGGGCGATCGCTCGTTTTTTAAATTGAAGCTGGAAATCTGTTCTTTAAGATAGTCTTTCTGGAATTTAGGTTCGATAAGTTGTCGCTGTTCTGACCCTTTAAATGTGAGGCCATGTTTGTGGTATTGAAAATTGTTAAGCATATAATGGTTAAAAAGGAAATTAAATAATACGATGGAATGAAATCATAATGTCGGTCCGATCTATCCTGTCTTAAAGTAGACGCTTCCAGCTTTTATTTAAGCTAAGTTGCGTGGGAGTAGCTCTACGGGAACGTATTTTAAAAACCTTCTGAACTTTTCCTTTGAAATCTTGTAAATCCCATGATATCAGAGGCCAATTCCTTTTAATTTTTTAAAAAATAACCTCATCAATCCATTAGAATCTAATCTACCCTGTCTTAAAGTAGACACTTTCAGCTTTCATTTAAGCTGGGTTGCATCGAAATAGCTCTACTACGGGAACGTATCTGAAAATCCTTCTGAACTTTTCCCTTTAAATCTGGTAAACCCCAAGATATCAGAGACCAATTCCTCTTAGTTTTTCAAAATGATCTCATCAATCTATTACAATCCAATCTACTCTGTCTTAAAGTAGACACTTCCAGCTTTCATTTAAGCCACGTTGCATAGAAATGGTCCGACTACAACGTCTCTTTTCGTAGGTAAATAATCGTATCTCCTCTCGTCGCCAATTTTCGTTTCCAAGCCGAGGGACAATCCGAGAGAAATCACTGCAACGTGCTCCAACAGTCTCCCAAATCCAGACACCTCCACACAGAAACGCATTCTCACCTGGAAGTGTATCCTGTCGCCCTGCTGTTCGTTCCCTTGCTGTTGCTGTCCGTCGGACGGCGGCGACGGGGGGATCATCGACTGGTACCAATCGCGGTTCTGCTCGAGCGTGTCCAGAATGTCCTGTGCGTCTGGGTGGACCAGGTCAGCCCATGTCTCCCACAGCGGATGGACGATGTAATCGATGAAGCCGACCTGCGATTTCTCGATCGTCGCCCTGTGACGGTCGCACATCGGACTGATGTCCATGTTGCGCTCGCGTTCACGGTCACCTTGCAGGAAGAACTCCTCCATGACCAGGCTGACCCATCGTCGGTAGAGGGTCAGGGGTTTCGTGGGGTTCGAGAGGTCGGCGCAGTGCACCAGGTTCTGCAGAACCTGGATGCGGTCGGTGTAGTTGTCCAGAAGGAGGACCCCGGACCCGGCGACCTTCTTCGTCTCCACCATGGTCTTCAGGTCCGCCAGCAGGGACATGTGCTTCACCATGTCCGTCGACAGGACCATGTCGATCACCATCTTCCGGAGGGTCTGCCGTTGCTTCGACGTCATGTTCACGAAGATGTCGCAGCCCTCGTTCTGCAGCAGCTTGAACGCCACCGCCAGGTGGTGGTTCTCCAGCACCGACACGTCATTGTACATCAAGGCGAGCTCGGAACCTGGGGATCGAAGGGAGCCGGTTAACAGGAGATTTATAATCTATAATATATGTACGTAAGTAATATCAAGGTTATGTCAAGATTATGTCAAGATTATGTCAAGATTATGTCACGTAAGTAATGTCTCTCTAATTGACGCTCAGATTGTCCACGAAGAATGGACAATTTAGGAAAAGGGGATACGATTATTCGAGCCTTACGGTTCATTTTTATAGCTACGAATTGTCAACAACTATAAAAATAAGCTGCAAGGTTCGATTAATCGTATCTCCTCTTCACAAATTGTCCACTTTTGTTGACAATCTGAGCGTCAGTTAGGGAGACATTACTGTACAGTAAGTTCTCCCTAACTAACGCTCAACTTGGAAACAAAAATGGACAATTTGGAAAGATAAAATACTATTATTCAAGGCTCTAAGGCTCGATTAATCGTACCTTCTCTTCCTAAATTTTTCCATTTTTGTCACTGAGCGTCAATTAGGGAATCCGTTTTGACGCTGAGCGTCAANAATTGAAGCTGGAAATCTGTTCTTTAAGATAGTCTTTCTGGAATTTAGGTTCGATAAGTTGTCGCTGTTCTGACCCTTTAAATGTGAGGCCATGTTTGTGGTATTGAAAATTGTTAAGCATATAATGGTTAAAAAGGAAATTAAATAATACGATGGAATGAAATCATAATGTCGGTCCGATCTATCCTGTCTTAAAGTAGACGCTTCCAGCTTTTATTTAAGCTAAGTTGCGTGGGAGTAGCTCTACGGGAACGTATTTTAAAAACCTTCTGAACTTTTCCTTTGAAATCTTGTAAATCCCATGATATCAGAGGCCAATTCCTTTTAATTTTTTAAAAAATAACCTCATCAATCCATTAGAATCTAATCTACCCTGTCTTAAAGTAGACACTTTCAGCTTTCATTTAAGCTGGGTTGCATCGAAATAGCTCTACTACGGGAACGTATCTGAAAATCCTTCTGAACTTTTCCCTTTAAATCTGGTAAACCCCAAGATATCAGAGACCAATTCCTCTTAGTTTTTCAAAATGATCTCATCAATCTATTACAATCCAATCTACTCTGTCTTAAAGTAGACACTTCCAGCTTTCATTTAAGCCACGTTGCATAGAAATGGTCCGACTACAACGTCTCTTTTCGTAGGTAAATAATCGTATCTCCTCTCGTCGCCAATTTTCGTTTCCAAGCCGAGGGACAATCCGAGAGAAATCACTGCAACGTGCTCCAACAGTCTCCCAAATCCAGACACCTCCACACAGAAACGCATTCTCACCTGGAAGTGTATCCTGTCGCCCTGCTGTTCGTTCCCTTGCTGTTGCTGTCCGTCGGACGGCGGCGACGGGGGGATCATCGACTGGTACCAATCGCGGTTCTGCTCGAGCGTGTCCAGAATGTCCTGTGCGTCTGGGTGGACCAGGTCAGCCCATGTCTCCCACAGCGGATGGACGATGTAATCGATGAAGCCGACCTGCGATTTCTCGATCGTCGCCCTGTGACGGTCGCACATCGGACTGATGTCCATGTTGCGCTCGCGTTCACGGTCACCTTGCAGGAAGAACTCCTCCATGACCAGGCTGACCCATCGTCGGTAGAGGGTCAGGGGTTTCGTGGGGTTCGAGAGGTCGGCGCAGTGCACCAGGTTCTGCAGAACCTGGATGCGGTCGGTGTAGTTGTCCAGAAGGAGGACCCCGGACCCGGCGACCTTCTTCGTCTCCACCATGGTCTTCAGGTCCGCCAGCAGGGACATGTGCTTCACCATGTCCGTCGACAGGACCATGTCGATCACCATCTTCCGGAGGGTCTGCCGTTGCTTCGACGTCATGTTCACGAAGATGTCGCAGCCCTCGTTCTGCAGCAGCTTGAACGCCACCGCCAGGTGGTGGTTCTCCAGCACCGACACGTCATTGTACATCAAGGCGAGCTCGGAACCTGGGGATCGAAGGGAGCCGGTTAACAGGAGATTTATAATCTATAATATATGTACGTAAGTAATATCAAGGTTATGTCAAGATTATGTCAAGATTATGTCAAGATTATGTCACGTAAGTAATGTCTCTCTAATTGACGCTCAGATTGTCCACGAAGAATGGACAATTTAGGAAAAGGGGATACGATTATTCGAGCCTTACGGTTCATTTTTATAGCTACGAATTGTCAACAACTATAAAAATAAGCTGCAAGGTTCGATTAATCGTATCTCCTCTTCACAAATTGTCCACTTTTGTTGACAATCTGAGCGTCAGTTAGGGAGACATTACTGTACAGTAAGTTCTCCCTAACTAACGCTCAACTTGGAAACAAAAATGGACAATTTGGAAAGATAAAATACTATTATTCAAGGCTCTAAGGCTCGATTAATCGTACCTTCTCTTCCTAAATTTTTCCATTTTTGTCACTGAGCGTCAATTAGGGAATCCGTTTTGACGCTGAGCGTCAATTAGGGAGACATTACTGTATTTCGAAGTTCACAGAACTATTTAAATGGTAAAAATTTCAGTAATAACGATAGCCTCGTATCGCACTGGATCGAGCTTTTTATTAATAAGCACCAGAAGTTTTATGAGTTTTATAATCATGAAGTGTTACCAGAAAGATGACGAAAGATCATCGAACAGAATGGAAAATATTTGACCACATAAAGTTCATTTCTCGTGTAGAAAAGATTGATCTTTATTTCAAATTGAAACACCGAAATTTACTTTTCTGCCAACATAATATAACTACGGCTCGAATTGGACACTTTGGACACTCACTCGAGTTGACGAGGAACTGGTTGGTGAGTCCTGGGTGGTCCACGTCGTGAATGGTGGCGGCGAACAGGGCCGCTGTGATCTCCAGTGACGTGAACACAGACTGCGGGAAAACGAGGCTCCAATTAGATTAAAATTAAAACAAAAAAAAACACTGAAATCGATCGCCACGGGGAGATTGATCACCGGCCGGCGAGGCGCTAATCCGCGGACGCTAAAAGGCTCTAACGAGAAAGGCTAACGATCCTCGGCCGATAACTAATCGACGCCGAGTTTGTTGCGCCTGGCCGGTTGTTTTCGACGCGGTCGCGTTGCGAAAGCGATTGGTGCACGAGCGATCCGCCAATGAATACATATTAACCTGTAGTGCGGGCGTGTTGAGCAGCGCGTGGGTGGATTGGGTCACGTCGGCCGCGTGCAGGCTATTGTGGAAGGGATTGTCCTTGACGTAATGATCCTCCAGGGTCATCATGAAGGTCACGAAGGTCTTCGGCGGGATGGCCAGGGATTTGAGCAGGTCTCGCCTCTGGAAGACTGTGTACGCGACGCAGGTCAGCGGTCTGTTGCTGCTCAGGTCGCCTATCCTGAAGATGTCGATGCCCCACTTGTCGATGTCCGACAGAAGCTGCAACATTAAAACGCCGTCAGCGATCCAGAAAACGATCGTCGTTGCCTCACGGTTGACCCTAGGTTCACTGTCTTCGCATTCGAATCGCGATGTCGCGACCTTAAGCTGTATCTTTTGAATTTTTACGTCTGGGATTGTCAGCCGAAAAAATTCGCAAAAATTCTTAAATAAGTGTCTTCGTCGTTGTTACGTGTTAGATTTTTCTTGGAATTGTTACTCTAAGGTGAGCAACAAAAATCGACCAGGAATGAAAATTCCTTTTTTTCCCTATAGCTACCCAGTCTCGCCAAGGCCGCAGTTTTGGACGAAAAATTTTGAAAAAATTCTCAGACGTCTATCCTGAAGGTAGTTACGTGTCAGAATTTTTACGAAATTTTAACTCGAAGTTAAGCAACAAGTGCGGACCACAATTGGAATCCCCGATCTCTCCTCGCCGTTGCTACCCTCGTCGAGGCAACAATACTGAACCAAAAAATTTGAAAAAATTCTCAATCGCGTGTTTCGATAGCAGTAACACGCGAGAATTTTTTCAAAATTTTAGCTCAAAATAATCTGGGCGAAATCGGCAAAAGATCGAAAATCATATTTTTCCCCATAACTACCCCCCGGGACAAGCTAGAGGGATGAAATTTTCCACGCACCACCCTCTGTTCATGCCCTATCGAACGACGCATCAACGATTCGATTATCCTTCCTACGAGTCTCGGAAAAAAATCTGTTCCCGTCAGCTTATCGCGCACCGTGACCGAGATCGAGAAAAGCCGCGCGGCAAGGTCGCGACCTGAACTTGTGGCGAGTGTTTGTGGACACTTAATGGTACTTAGCGGAGCTACGTGCGAAGCATCGGAGCCAGCAGGTGAACGGCACGCCGAGGAACGGAAAGTTTCCCGACGGTCGCGCGAATGCCTCTCGAAAATTAGAGCCTGGATCCTGGGACGAGCAGATGGGAGACGCGTCCTCGGCTCGTGTCGCGTGCAGGTTTCTGCGCGGGTCCGCCGTAAACATAGGCGAGGCGATAATGACTGCGATAAGGGATTCGGGAATTTGGGTTATGTTATCTGTTCGCTTGTGCGGCCTCGTGCCGAATCGCTCGGCCGATCACGAGCCTGCAACCCAGCCGTCCCGTGACCGTAGAACGATTGTTTCGGTCGCGACGCGAACGAGATTCCCGCGTGGAAAACTCCGCGGCGGAAGGGTGCCTTGAACCCCTGGAATCGACGGCGCTTTATTTGCCGAATGCCTGGTTAAACAGCGAGCTCGATTATCAGTGCTAACACGGAGCACAAAGAGATTCCCGGCGTCCGCTGATGGGTCACGTACATCCGAGTGGTTTTCCCCCCGTCCTTTCTCTATTCTTTCCGTCCCGCCAGCTAGCGCAGGAAGCAAATATTTAAGCTGCGGCATCTCGCCGGCCGCTGGAAATTTCCTAGCCCAGATCGTAAACCAGAACTAACGGCGGAGTTCTGCGGAATTATCATCGAATTACTCGACGAATTGTTAATTACGAAGTACAATTCATTTACGGTTGTAATTTTATAAATTCAGGTCGCCGATCGATTAAATCGCGAACTGATTTAATTATATTGCAATTTGTATTTCAGGTCGTCGTTCAATCAAATTGCAATGTGATTCAATTATATTCTGATTCGATTACACCGTCGTTCGTAATTCAATTAAATTACAATGTAATTCGTGATTCGACGGGAGCGAAATTACAAATAGAAACTTAACAATTCAATTGTATTAATTACGGACGACAGTGTAATTATTATTTATTCGACGCGTTGTGTCGAGTGAACAATGAATAATAAACAATTGGGTAATAATTAATAAGTGAGAATTGAGAGATTGTATTCATAGATATGAAATATATTTTATCGTTTTAAATCATTTATTTAGGTCCACGTGAATGAGCAGTGATTATTTTTGTATTTCACGTAAACTTTCAAATATAAGAATTAATATTGAATTGCGTAATTGAATTGTCACTTATTGCGGAATTTCTTTTTGTGAATTGAAATGCATGGAAATGAATTTCTTCTATCGACAAATTCATAGAATCTTCCAACTGAGAAAATAGAAATATTTTCCAATCATTCTGATATTTCTCGCATATTCTCTCATTTTCGTCATATTTCAAAATGCATTACTCTTTAGAAATAAAAAAAAAGCATTTAAGAATCGTTTCTTTTTTCGTGAAAAATCGAGAAAAACAGCGGAGAAAAAATTTAATAAATGTTTGTCGACGCAGTAACAGGTACCGTTGTCCTAGCCACGACGCAGCTGCCGGACAAAGGACACCGCGGAAAAATGATAAGACCAAGTTTTTGTTTTCGCGAGACAGCTGGACAGCTCGGCAAATCCTCCCGCAGCTGCGGCTGAACGCGCTCCAGACACATCTTCGATCTCTCTCTCTTCCTCTGAGAGATTACACGTGTTCCGGGGTCCTGTGCACACCCGATTGATAACCGGACAACAGCGCGGAATTAACAGGGGATTAAATCTGGTGTATCGCAGCGCGCTGCCTGATCCGATTTGCGGTTTTCCCGCGATTCGAAGCTATGGAGACCCAAGGGAGAAATGTTGCCGGCGGATTTATTTCAGAAGGCACCCACGCGAATCGAAATTCCGACTTGCGAGACCGGAGAAGGCCTTATTTATCGACATATTATTTATTGTCAATGACTGAATATTTGTTTTCTTTGAAGTTAGACACACTTTTTGCAGATTTGTACCATTCTTTTCTCGAAATTCGAACTCGATGATTAATGCCAGGGAATTCAATGCATTTTTTTCATATCGATAATAATCGATAATAATTTTAATATATATACATTGCAATCTAGTTTTAATATATATTACAATATATTTTTGACACATATTTAATACTGTTCGAGAAGATTATATGATTGCAATTTTTCTTATTTAACAGAGAGAGAGTTCTTCACCAATTTGTTTATTGTAACCTTTTATCATGTAATTAACGAGTAATTCTGGTTCGAACAATTTCATGAGGAAACGTTCGTTAACAAAAATTTTGTGTCTGGGACAAGTCGTTGTATGACACAAAGTAGCATCAATAAAATCGACGAGAAACTTTCTATTTAATGAAAAAACAATTAACATATTTTAGCAAAATTGTATGTCAACGCAAGGTGGCACCTTTCCCGAAACGAGTCGGCCGGGTTGCAATGTTACCTACGTCGATGATTTAATTACGTTGTGCAAGCGAGACTTGCCAAAAAATCTGAATATGCTCGGCAGCGACCTTCCCGGGATGGGTAGAAAGTGTCGTACATCAATTTCGCTTTCACGATTGTCGGCCGTTTATGTAATTGTCACGTAAGCAACGAGGAAGACTTATTATTATTATTATTATTATTATTATTATTCTGGGTAATTGGGAAGCTTCGATAATGTCTAAATCAAACTAACCTATCGGGATCGAACACGCTTAGGTATCTAACCTGGGCCTAATCATCAGTTCTGACCAGTAAATGACCTCTAAATGATCTATAAATAAATCTAGATTGGGACTTATTTATCAATTTATTTGGGATTTATTTTTCTATCTGTTTTGGGACCTATTAATTATCGATCTAGCTTGAGACCTGTACAAAAATTTAGTTCGGAATCTGAAAGATAAATCTAGCTTGGGACTAATCTATTTTATTTTGGGACCTATTCAAAATATCAGTAAAACTAACTCCGTACTCTATCGATCTAGCTTCAGACCTGTAGAAAAATCTAGTTCGGAATCTGAAAGATAAATCTAGCTTGGGACTAATTTATTTTATTTTGGGCCTTATTAAAAAAAATAACAATAAAACTAACTTCGCACTCGTCTATCGATCCAACTTGTCACCTATCAATCACTATATTACTTGTCGATCCAACTTGGGACTTATCTATCGATCCAGATTGGGCCCTATCCACCGATCTATCTCAAGACTTGTCTGTCCATCAATGCTTTTCTCTTTCAAGGCCCCCAGATCGAACCGTATCCTCGTCTAACTGTTCTCAGGTGACTGACCAGGTGGGCCCCGAGGACCCCGACGGTCCCAACGGATTCTTACCTTGCCGAGCTCTTCCTCGCTGGGTGTCTCAACACCGTAGAGCGGTACACGTTCTCCCGTGAAGCTGTTCGTGTGCGTGAGCGGCCGTTTCACGCCGCTGATGTGGGACATGGCAGCCGGGCCCCGCTGGGCCCGCTCCATCTTCTTGACCGCCCTCGCATCTGTGCTGCCTGCAGCCGCGACCGCATCTTCGATTCTCAGTGAGGGCAGATCCAATTCCTGTTGCTTGTCTGCGGACAGAAACCCGAGCCGGGAAATTAAGCGGGGCCTCGCCGGGAGAAGTACGTATTACGGCCAACGGCCGCCTCGAAACAAATTAATGGCCGATGCTACCGTTGCGACGCTGCTCGAACGTGATTTCACGGATCGCTGGGTTCAGAGAGTGGCGTAATTTGTTTACGTAACACTAGAATTTCTCGCTCGGCGACCTCGGCCTACGCAACCAACTTATTCGATTTGACCAGTTCTCTGATCGCCGGTGACCAATATTCTAGGACTTGTAACTTCCTCGGAGAAAATCGTACGAGGTTCCGCTTATGCTCGTTTTGAAGGGCACGGTGTCTAGTTTCAGAATCGCGTATTTTATTTTGTTTAGGATATCCTAGCCGCGAGATACAGACGGAATTGTGAAAACTGTCGTTTTGTGGTCATTTTACGAATTCGAAAGTCTGTACAGGAGGCAATAAATTTTTTCCGGTGGTAAGACCAGCGTAGAAATAAAGAGTGAAGATTTAGCTTTCGAACGGGTTAATAGAAATTGAGCTGCGATTTTTTCTTGCCGATTTATCGCAGGTTGAAGGTAAGGCGTGGCGTCGACGCGTGGGAGCTTCGAATAATTTAATGTGGCGGCACAGTCCTCGTTCAGAGTGCGAGAAAACGGTAACGAAAAATCGTAGGTACATTTTTTTTGACTCGTTGGAAAGAGGAAACTCGATTCTTTCAGAAAACTGTAGTCTCAATCGCCGTAAAAATTTTTTGATTTCTTCAGACGTTCGTAGAGTCGAAAAATTGTCAAAAAATCGACATTGTTACTAAAGCTGCGACTATTAACAACACAATAATCGAATCGTAGAATAGCTTAGGCCCTTTAAAAGCACATTTCACGCCCTTTGAAACGAGCCTAGGCTGACTTCTCTCCGCCATTTTCGAACGAAATTACAGAACTTTGTAACCCGACGATTTGCTAGTTTCCCATTTTCTTGATCCGTGAATTTCAGCCGGCGAGTATTAGATAACGCAGAGACGGCGAGCTCGTTACGAATAACTGTAGCGTTAATGAACCCACACGCGGGGCTACAATTAAATTATGGCTGCTCTATATCCGCGAACTCGGTTAAAAGTTGCGCCGCGGATGAAACGGTGCTCTGCGATGTTTAATTAAAAATGGAACGCGCGAGCCGCCGTGCTTCCGATTTGATACGCGAGCGCGGTAATTCTGATTTCATTCGGATGTCACGAAGATCAGAGGGTTTCGCTAATTTCTCGCGAAACGGGCGAAAATCTCTCCGCTGGAACGCCGGAGTTCCGCGAGATGTTACAACGTTACGACGTGTATAACAGAACTTCCCGGACCCGGCGGTCCGGAGCAGATAGAGAGGAGATCGACACCAGGTGCAATCCGCGATCTCTTTATCCGGCTTGGATCGATCAATCGGTGCTAACTCGTCCGGCAACCGTTCAAGGACGCGTGCCTGACGCATAAGGCTGAAATATGCCGCCGGCTCATTATCCATTCGAATTTAAATAAGCGTCGGCGCTTATCTGCCTTTCATGTTCCCTCCGCTTTTAATTCCCGTCCATTTTTAGATGTGTCCCTAACTAAATGGGCCCGAAACGCGTTCCCCCTCCCTGCATCGTGTTGCAAACACACGCGTCGTTAAAACGCTCGTATAATTAGCAAACTAGTAATCTTCGGTTTCCGGGAAAAAAAACGACAATGTCCGACACGATTGCATATCTCGGCAACCAGTCGTCCGATTTGCACGAAACTGTGCAGACATCCTCCGCGCACTTTCTTTTACCACACAACCCCGCTACTAAATCAATATTTGCGAAATTCGATCATTTGGAGAAAAAACATTGGCACTCTTTTTCTCGTTTTTAGACTGTAATTGCTGTAATTGCAAGCCTTTCTTTGAGACGCTATAACTTTCGAGCAGATCATTATCTTTGCGTGAAATAAATTTTATTCTACACGCGAAAGGCTCGTTAATGTATATAAAAAATGTGAAATTAATGGACTTGTTAGTTTCATTTGAAAAAATTCTTAGGCGAGCTTCCTCTGGGTTCCTCGCGAGCATGCGCGATCGTTTTCGAGTCTTTCTTCGAGACACTGCAACTTTCGATCAGATTGTTATTTTTCAATGAAATAAATTTTATACTACTGTGAAAAGACTTGTTAATTTATGTAAAAAATGTGGAATTGATAGACTCGTTGGTTTCGTTACAAAAAATTAATCGGTGCGCCCCTTACGAATGTCTCGTCGCTACATGCGATTTTTAACAACTTTCTCTTTAAGACACTGTAACTTTGGATCAGATTATTATTTTTGAACGAAATAAACTTTATACTACTCTGAAAAGACTTGTTAATTTACGTAAAAAATGTGGAATTGATAGACTCGTTGGTTCGGTTACAAAAAAATTCATAAATCATCCTCGATTTTCCTGCTACAATCGATTACATTGTTGCGAGATACGGAAGCTTCCCGAGTCTCTCGTGACTCAGGCGGCAAGCATGATTTTTTCACGCGTCCCTAGATGAAAAGGAGAATGGAGGTTTGCGCAAACGTTCGGCCGTTTCCTGATTCCATGAGCAAAAAGGACTCGGTTGCACAAAGCGCGCGTCGGACGGGATGAATGCTCGAGAAATTATCATACGTCTACGGGCTCTCAAGGGCCTTCGACGCGTAAGAGAACGGTGCTCGTTTCGTTGCCCCTGATATATGCTCTCCAAGTGGCCTCGCCGATCCATTATTTTTCTCCTTTTGTCTTTTCGGCGCCGCGAAAACAAGCGTCTCGATCCAATTAAAATTCTGATCGATTGTAAAACGGCTCGCCTACTTTGAAACCGCCGAAAGATCGATATTCCCTTTTTCACATTTTTATAAAGTGCAAGCATCGCGGAACGCGCGTGCCAAACGATTTGTTTGAATTCGGAAGAATAACGGGGTTCTAAACGTTCCAAAGACGTGTATATACTTTGATGTAACTGGTTAGAGAAACTTCGGACGCGTTTCCCTCGGAACCTGCCTTCTCGAAACTGTTGACACGATATTTCACGCTAAAGTTGATCAATTCGCTCGAAATTTATGGAGTATCTTAAACGCATTTTCTCGTGGTATCGCGTGAACCAATATTTTTAACGTCCGACGCTTTTTGTCTTATTTTATGAGCACGCCAAGGACGAAAAAATATTGAGAAAATCGATCTCTGCAATGTTTCAATTGAAATTGCTCGAGTCAGACGATTCGTAAATAAGCAATATCACCGAGTTATTTTAGTTCAGAACATAGTTAGACTTGCACCGAATACGGAGGCTTCTGATTTTTTGTCTCGAATCGGCACGAAATCGGAAATTCTGTCGAAAAGATTAACAGAATTTTTATAAAACGCTCTAAATAAAACGCTACATAAATCACGAGATTTTTATTGTGTTTACTTGAAAACAATTCAGTGCGAACCTAATGCAAGAGACGCGATAAAAAATAGATTTCTGAATGCAATCTGGAAAATGATATCGTTCGAGAACATTAAAAATTCGTCGCCGGTTTTAACTCCGCGAAAAATGAATTTTAACCTTTGCAGTTAAATTCCGACAATTAAAATTTAATTAACATGAAAAAGATTTCCCAATACAATTCTCGAGAAATGTTGTAATTCACGACCATTGAAAATTCGATTGCACTTTCAACTCCACCAAAAATTAATTACAAATTTTCTAGTTAAAGGTGGAATTTTTTTAATGTTCGCGATTTATGTCATTTTTAAAATTCTACTGTAATTACTGGAATTACTTTGGCGCAGGAAACGAATTCCAACGAGAGTTCCATTACGGAAGCCGCGGAGCAGAAACGCTAAAATGTTGATGCGAGGCGAGGTCTATTTTTAGCGGCGATCGAAAGCAACCGGATTGACCGGCAATTATTATCGATTCCCTGGTGAATAGAATCGCGTCGACCATGAACTTTCGTCAAAAGTAAATGAATTTCCGCGCGGTGTCCGGCGGTCGGCGAGCACCGGCATCGAAAAGGCGATCGCGGGAGAGCAAATATTCCGTGTACTCACCGAGGAAAGTGGTGCAGAGGTACTCTGAGATCTCGACGCCAGACTTCGAGGACTCGGAGAAGTAGGAGAGTTCCTTGTTCAGCATTCGCTGGAACTGAAAAAAAAAGAAAAATCGGAGCGGTTAGTCTCGGTGCCACTCGCTTTCCAATTAATCGCTGCAATAATTATCCCCACCAATCTCACTCTCTCTCGAAGATAAAATTCGTGTTTTCTACGTTGACATTCGTTCGACAGTGCATGGGTCAATCGGGACCCAGGTTATAAATATTATTGGATTTTCTAGGTCCTGACATTTTATCGAAAATAGTTTAGCGTTAAGATCTACGTAAGAATTATTGGAAGAAATATGTAGTAGAAATAATGTAAAATATAATAGAATTAATAGAAATATGTAAAATATATAAAGTATATCAAATGTATAAAATGTATAAAATGTATAAAGTATTTAAAGTATATAAATATATAAAATATGTAAAATATATAAAATATATAAAAATAAAATAAGATATATTTAGTTTAATAATATTTTATAATTTTATAATTAAATTATAATATTATAATTTAACATATATTAAAATAAAATAAGATATACTTAATACATTTACATCCTTTTTAATTCTAACAGATTAAAATTCGTGCAGCATCTCCGTCAGTCACTGTTCACTAAACCGGTTCTCCAACGTTTGAAAAAAATTTCTAGTCATTCGCTGCTGTTTGAAAAAAAGGTTATTCCACTCGAGAGAAGTGTCGAAATATTTTCGTGACCGATTGCACGTGTAGACTCGTGGCTAAAAAGAGGGTTAGGTGTAAATTCTTGAGGTGTCTTGGTTCGGATAAGAGGAGCTATCGTTTCGCTGGCAAACGGGGCGGAAGCTCGTCAAACAATCGCGTGACTCTCGCTTCCGATTCGTTCGGCGACCCTTATCGCTGGTAATTTACGATGTTTACAGGCGATGTGTGTCGTGCATGAAATTTCGTCGCAGATAAACAATTCGCGGCGGTGCAGAGAGTGCATCCGTGGACTCAGAGAAAGGGAAAGAGAGAGAGAATAAGAGAGAGGGAGAGAGAGAGAGAGAGATCGGCAAACAGATTGCCGGTACCGTTGTCGAGAGGCCTGGCTGCTTATCAGCGACGCAGCAGCAAAGGATTCCTCTTTATCCCGAACGATTACGCGGATATCGATGCACAAAGAGGACTGACCTGTTATCGAATAGGTTGTTTTCTGAACGCGATAAACCCGACTCGAGCCTCGCCGAGATTACCCTTTCGCCACCCACGCTTTGTCCCTTCCCGCTATTTCGACTCGAAATCTTCCACGGAGATCGCTAACTGATCGTTGACACTGCGAAATGGAATTCCTTTTGATAGCTGGTCCTCGACGAGCCTCAATTATCCCCCCCCTCTCTCTCTCTCTCTTTAGCAGCCTAAACAATGGAATTGTTTCGCCGGGAAGCTGACGTTCGGTTCTACGCGAAAGTCAAAGTGGCACAGTGTTCGACGAATTTCCCAATCGCTGGCATTGAGCTCAAAATTCTCGAGACCGTGCGGATTTTGAAAAACAGAATTTAAATAGTTCGCGAAATATCCGCGAGACGGCAGAGTCTCGTAAAAATCGCACCAAGTTATGGATCACGGCCAACTTTTTGGGAAATGGCATCGCCGCGCGCCGGGACACAGAGGCAGACATAATTGGGTCACCGAAGAGGCAATCGGGCAGAAACTGCGCACAGTAATTGGCCAAACGTGATCTTGATTCTGCGTGCCTAACGTTCCCGGGTACGAAAGAGAGTCGGTTAATGATCCGAGAATCCAGCCGATGGTTTCACGACAATTAGTGGGGTAATTGGCGGAGAAAGTCCCCTGCTCGACGTGACTTCGGAGAGAGATGATGTTTGGGAAAAAAAAGAAAAAAAAGAGGTAGATTTTAAATTATTATTTCTAATTACCTCGAAATTATTCTCAATTATTTCAATATTATTCGAGATTGTTCTAAATTATTTCAAATCATTTTTCAAATTATTTAGAATTATTTGAAATTATTTTAGATTATTTCAAGTTATTTGAAAATCATTTTGAACTATTTTCAATTGTTTTAGATCATTTTAAGTTATTTGAAAATTATTTTGAACGGTTTAAAATTATTTTAGGTTATTTTAAGTTGTTTGAAAATTATTTTGAACTGTTTTAAATTATTTTAGATTATTTTAAGTTATTTAAAATTATTTTAGATTATTTAAAATCACTTTAAAATTATTTAAAATTATTTTGAAGTTATTTAAAATTATTTAAAAGTTATTTTAAATTACTTAAAATTATTTCAGATTACTTTAAATTATTTTAAATTATTTTACATTATTTTAAATTATTTCTAAATTATCTCAAATTACTTTTTAAATTATATCAAATTACTCTTTTTAAATCATTTAAAATAAATTACTAATAGCACGTATCTACGTGATAGTATCGTTTACCTAATGCACGTTATATCATCGATAAGGTAACAGTCGTTAAGTTGATAATCGATAAAGACGACTTTATCGAGAATGTCTTCAAACGGTATTGAAACACTGATTTACCTGATAAACGGTTTATCGTCGATATAAATAAATTGATTCCGACGCAACCTCGCGTTATCGGCTCGGACGTCTCTTTGTCGGACAGGCACCCGATAATTGAATCGTGAGAAAGTGCCGGCACGGTCTTTTCTTCGAACGCTTCCGTTTCGCTTCGGAATGACACGTAATGTTGAGCCGGTCAGGGAATCGCTCTAATCTCCGGTTTCCAAGCGTATAGCGTAGGCTGGCATTCGGCTGAATTAAAAAGCTCGTTGTGATGCCGTACGGCATCTCGTTCAATTTATTCCGAGAAGCTTCCCATTCATTTCCTTTGACACGGTGAAAGTTATTTCTGCTACGCGTGTCGCTTCGTTACAAAAACAGGGCCGCGTTCAGCGGGAATAAAGGTCCAGTTTTATTTCGCAAGAATGAAAATGCAGTTTCATTCAGCTGCAATAGGAATGCAGTTTCATTTAGCTAGAATAAAAATGCACCGCCGAGAGAACATTTTCATCCGTGGGAAAATCGATCGCGAGTATTCAGATTCAGGATTCGTTTCTTCGTCAAAGAAAATATTATACGATTTCTGAAAAATATTATTGTTTATTTTTTATTGAATAAGCATTTATTCAATTATTATTTTGTTGGCAACTTTGTACGAAAAGATTTTTATTTACGAATATCTCGAAATCAGAGTCCCCGAATATTTTGAGCTGTTTTCTTCAAACCTTACCTGAAGTTTAGGTTACGGTTAGATCAAGATTAGGTCAAGATTAGATCAGGGTTAGCTGCGGTGTGAACCAACGTGCTACTTCATCTTCCTAATATCCGCTCGGCAAACTCGAAATTAATCTCCCGCTCAATATTTTGAACGTTCTGTTGCTAAATATGACTATTTAGACATTTTAGCACATCGTGCACACAGTTATGAATAGATATGAAGCAGCGACTTTTTTAAATTTCGTCCATTGACGATCGCGCTGTGCGCCAGCAGCGTGTCGGTTCCAGGAAAACGGTGACTAACGCGGTAATTCCGTTATCGATTCCGCGACAGTAAACGTAATTGCTCAGGTAACCAGAGCGATGGTAATGTGTCGGTCGCAAATGACGTGTCGCGATTCAGCGCGAATTATATCACCGTCGATGACAAAGCCTGGGTACCCTCAAAATATGATACATCAATGATGTACGATGATTACGGCGCGTAGCTCGTTATCGCCGCGATGCCTCGGACTATCATTCGGCGGCCTCCTGCTATCTTAGATCTCGCGTTAAGCAAATTCAATGAAATCCGAGATTGCGCGAGACAAGATCGCGTGATCGTGGAAAAGTACGCGATCCTTCCACGGAACGACCGGTGTCGGAAATTCTGTTAGTTGCACCGTTGCAGGACGAGTTTTTGTGGGAACAAGGCAGGTCTGATGTCTCAAGAATGTTTCGGTCGAATCTTCTTGGAATATTTAAACGAACGCGGAGAGACTCGGATATTAACAAGGCACTTTAATCTTCAACATAATTTAGTAGGACGTACTATTATCACGTTGAAGATTAAAGTGGCTCGTTAAATCAAGTCTCTACGTTCATTTGAATATTCCGAGAGGTACGAAGTCTGAGAGATGTCTGGTTTAGATCTGAGGTATCAGGGACTTTCTGGTTAAATTTACAGTGTGGCGGATATGTCGGTCGGGCCTGAAATGTGGGAGATGTCTGAGTTAAGTCTGACTTCTGAGAGACGTCTGAGTTAGCTCTGAAGTTTTCATTAAGTCGAAATTAAGTCTGAGGTCTTAGAAATTTCTGTGTTAGTTCTGGAACCTCAGAAATGTCTAAGTTAATCCTGACAAGTGTCTTGGTAAGGTCGAAAGTTACCATTAACTCGAAATTAAGTCTGAGGTCTCAGAAATTTCTGGGTCAGTTCTGGAGCCTCAGAAATGTGTGTGTGTCTAAGTTAATCCTGATAAATGTCTTAGTAAGGTCTAAAGTTACCATTAAGTCTAAATTAAGTCTGAAGTCTCAGAAATTTCTGGGTTAGTTCTGGAGTTTCCGAAATGTCCAAGTTAGTTCTGACAAACGTCTTTTTAAAGCTCAGAGTTCCAATTAAATTTTGAAATAAGCCTAAAGAGTCTCAGAATATTCTTAGTTACTGCTGAGAATCGTCTAGTGTAGATTTGAAGTTTAAATGAAGTGTCTGAAATCTTAGAGATGTCTAGGTCAGTTCTAGAACCTCAAAAATACCTAAGTTAATGTCGACAAATATCTTGCTGAGGTCTAAAGTTACTATTCAGTTCTGAGGTAAGTCTGAGGTCTCAGAGGGTTCCAAATTACTACTTAGAATCGTCCGAGTGATATCCGAAGTTTTAATCAAGTCCGAAAGAAGAGTCTGAAGTCTCAGGAACATTCGTGTTAAATTGAAAGTATCACCGATGCTCGAGTGAGTTCTGAATAAAGTTCGAATAAAGTCTGAGGATGTTCTTAAAGTCGGACCGAAGCCTGAAGTCTCAGGGATGCCAGGGATAGGTCCAAAGTCCCGTGAGTCGTGGCA